TCACGCCTGCTGCATGTTGACACAGAGTTTAAATTTATATTTCTTGTTGATTTGCGTTATTTTTATACACTTTCATTGGGCTTCATAGACTTGTCAGCAAATGTGCTACACTCAACGTTTGTTAATCTAAAATCGGTTTCAAGAATATTTACGAGAAGTATTCAAAACTGAATCTATGAGTATTGTTTGGAATTATTTGGCTTGCAGCTTATTATATTTCTGATAAACGTTACCCAGATTAGAGTTCTGCTTAGATTTTCCGCCAGGGCTCTCTCTAGGGTATCTAAATTTTAGTTGAATTTTAAAATCCGCACCCCTGCTGGAATTGCGAGGAGCTGTGGAGCTGCTATTAGTTCAACTTGGCTACGTCTAAGGCTTGGGGCCTGTAATTTATTGACGTGTTTCTATGTAACAATTTATATATGTACGTACATGCATATGTACGCATGCAAGCCTTATATAAATAAATATACATATATACATTTTTAGGCCAACATGCGCGCTTAGCCATAAATTGTTTTGGCCGGCATAAAAAAGCGTATGGAAAGAGGCCGTTGCGCTAAATTTCATTTCATGCAGCACTGCGCTCAACAAAATATCCTTGTCGCTCTCTCCTGCTCGGGGTCAAGTTGACTGAGTGCGTAGCAAGAAATTTATGGCAGACGCCGCTTGGCAAACAACTCGCTCCCACATTCCCCTTGTCCTGTGCTGATGTGATACTTTGCGCTTTTGCTAAACCCTTTGCTCCGCAAGCCTTGACAAATTTGTGCGGTCAAGTCGCCCGTTAATTGAGTTCAAATATGCAATTACACATGCGTTTGGCAGTTATTGTTGCTATTGTTGTTGTTGCTGCTGTCGTTGTTGTTGTTTTTGTTGGCCATCATATGCATATAATAAATCAAATAATAAAACGCTGATGTTTTAATTACGGTTGCCATAATGCATAAAAAAAAGCTAGATAATAGAAACTAAGTTAGACTGTGCGACTAGGCAATATCCTTTAGTTCTAGGAAACAATTTATTAAAATAATAAATATGTATATGCTGCATAACCAATGCATTTATTCTAATGTAATTCAATTCAAATCTAAAATCCATTTGTTTAAAATATTATGTTATTATTATTAAATTTCTTAGTACATGGAAATATAAGTACATATGCGAAATATGTGAATGTGAATGGTTATTTCATAAAATTTATAAAATTCAAAGTCGTTCCAGAATTTATTATCTGCTTTATCCCAATAATCAATTACATTAAAAAAGTTATATTAATATTTGTCTCTGACATGATCAAGCACTTCTGTAAGTTACAAAGATATTTAAAATTTCATAATAGCCCCTTTGACAATTTAGTAGGGTGTAGCGCATTAAAAAGCAAATGTTTCGTTCATTAATTTAGCTAACAAAAAGTGTGGTCAGCTTTTAATTACATATAAATTATAATAATACAAAAAACGCATAATTATATATACATATATTTAATACAAATTTATATTAAATTCTCGACTTTTGTATCATTTCAATGCTAAAAACAAAAACCAATATTAACTTTGAAACTTCAGCTAATTGCGTTGACAATGCGAACGGCGAAAAAAAAACTCATTCGTTTTTCGCGGGCGTCACTATATCGTGTGGGCGTGGCAGCGCCTTCTGCTAATGAACATCGATTTGGCCGCAGTCTGGCAGCTGCAAGCTGTGTGCTCTCTGTGTGTCCCACAATCGAAATCGGAATTTAAATTGACTCATTAAAACGAGCAAAAAGCGGGTCGCACGACAATTAAACAAACGCGACAGCAACATTTCCTACCCCGTCAGCCCCCATTCCACCCATTTTATAGAAGTTACCCTCGCCATCGTTTGGGTCCGCCAAGATGCCTAGCACCTAATATGGGGTCATTAGTTAATTTGCCAAACGGCTTCTATCGGTTTGTGCTCTGCAAAAAAGATTATTTTGAATTTGTCGTGAGGTTTGACATGCGTAAGTTGAGAAAACGCGTAAAGCTTAGCTCTGATTCACGTTTGGGATTGGAATATTGTTTTATATTATTTGCATTTATCAGCGTCCTCAGTGTCCTCTTTATGGTCATAACTTGGTTGTTGTTTTCTATGGCATAATACAAGATCTAGATTCAAGTTTTATTTTATGTTTACTCTATTTATTTTGTTCATTTTATATATTCTTTTTATATATTGGCCTCGTTTGCTGGCTAACTATTTAGAATTTTTATATATTTCCTGTTGGTTATAATCTGTTTAAAATAATATTTATTTACATTCAAGGCACAATATAGTTGACTATTGGTGTAATAATTATAATATATAATATAATTTTTAACGAATCCTTAACTCAATAAACTTCTTGCACAAATAAAGCTTTCGTTTTTATCAGAAAAATTTGAAAAATAAGTTGATAACAAGAAATACAGCGCGAAACTTTTATAGATCCAATAAATATCATTAATTCTTATACTCATGAGATACATATTTATCAAGAGCATGCATTTATTATTATTATTATTATTGTATTATTATGATTTTTTATGAATACAATCAAAATTAAAGGGCAATCTAACGTTAAATTATTTATATTTCTTTCTGTTCCAGACTAAACTTCTGGTCAATTATAATGGAAAATATGTGTTAGAACTCTCCAAAAAGTATCCCTACCATACCATGATCTATGATCGTAATATCTGTATCAAACAGAAAACAGAAATGTAAGTTAATCAAGTTTATTTGTACTATTTAGTTAATTTGACTTAGCTAGAGCATGAATATATTGGTTAATCAAAGATCTCTTGAATTTCTGCTGCTGTTTTTATGAGTTTTTGCCACTGTCAAGGACGTTCGCGTCCTTGTTTCCCAATGTTCGTCACTAGCGTCGTCGCTTGGGTCCTCTGTTAATTTATGTGCTCGTACCCAAAGTTCTCGCGTTTCTTGCGTGGTCTTATTGAGTTTTGGATGCGTGCCGAGCCGCAATCTGCCCGGGACTATTAGATTTTATTGAGCCGCTGATTTACACAACGCGCCTCAATTCAATTTTGAAGCGACTCGTTAAGACGGGGGGAGACGCGTTGGTAATCGCGTCTAACAAAACTTTATGTTCAGACCTGAGCAACTCGAAATGGGAATTTAATTTTCACACGGGAAAAATCAATAAATGTGCGTGAAAAAATGGAAACACAAAGAACAACAGCAACAACATAAATTACCTGCATAATTTCGTTACAATTTTCACTATGCAATTTCTATAACAGTTTCCTTTTTTTTTTCCTTCTCTTGTTGTTGCCCACTTTTTGCTGCGATACCATCCAACAAATGGGGCGTGCCCCTTGGATAGGCGGTCGCGTCCATTTTATTTACATTTATTGACCGCACGAACTGTCTGTGGGATACGCGGCTGGCTCTGTTTGGGGGCGAGTGGTGGGGTCTACGTCTGGTCTGTGTATTGGGTTAGTTGAGTGGGTTTTCAAACTGGGTAATTTGCAGCACGTGTGAACAGTTTTCTATTAGGCGCTCGCGATGCCAACTGGCGTAAATGTGCAAACGGAAGTAAGCAAAATCGTAACGGAAGTGAATTGAAGTGCCGGGCTAGCTTGGATGGGTAATAGATATATGCATCTAGATAATCTAGAGCCAGCGTTTCGTTTGATAACTAAATAGGCTCAAGCCAGACAGACAGAGAATAATTCGCTGTTAAACAGAGTGCAACTGATTACTTGATATATAAATATAAATCTATTACGATATATATAATACTTATAAGCAGTCCATTTTCTCTATTATCCCATCTTTTTTTCTTCCATTTTCCTGTTAGTAAAGGCAATTTGCAGTAGAACTAAATATTACTTTTTTATTTAAACAAGATAACTTGGCCAGGTATAAATATAAGATGTTGACATCCTTTAAACACAAGCAAAAGCTTTATTAATTGTACGGAAAATTTTTAAACAATTTCTGATCTTTTCTAATCGATTGAAGTTTCCAAAATCGAACTTCCTTTTTAAAAATCCTTTTCGGAATAGAGTTTCACCCCGTATTTATCCAGTAATTAAATATGACAATCAAATAAAAACGCCAAAGCTGGATAATTATATGTCTAGAAAAAAATTCTTTGCTACAAATTAAGTAGATTGCGCCACGTGTTTGCCTTGGTATTGGGACTGACTTTGGGATTAGGGACTGAGAGCTGACACCCACACACATACATATGTGTGACCTACAAGAAAAATGGACACTTTGAGCTTTCGGTTTTGGTTGACTGGGGGCCAGCTGTCAGCGCGGTTTCCAATTATCCGAAACCCAAATGAATCCCAAAACTTGCCTGCAGAGGCATTTTTGCATGGCATGCCCACAAATCAAAGCCAAGTTTCACTTTTCCTGTCAATTCTGTTTCAGTCCAAAGTTTCATGTGGTCAGCCTTGGGGTGTTTGGGTTGATTTTTCGAACGTCAGCCTGCTTGCTGCTGAGTTGCCCCAAATATCTCTCTCGTATCTTGTATAAATTTGATTTGCTAATGAGCCGAGGCGAGACCATATGAAATTTAAAATAGTTTTTTCTACCCCACCCATATAGCTTCTGCGGCTTATCAAGTGGGGTGTTGGCCAACTGTGGTTTCCAGTGTGAACCACCAGAGTTGGGCACGTATTTGAGTGGCGGCTTTAATTGGTCCAGCTGCATGTGGGGCACCCGAAATTCTGTTTGAACGTTATAAATGTATAGGAAACTAAAAAGTTGTTGATTGCTAAGAGGTTTTGGTTTTATTCAGAGCCAAGTTGTGCTGGTTAATTATTGTTAGTTTAGTTAGAAGCGGCGAGCAGCATTTTTTGTCACTCGTGATGACATACTCCATAGATACTGTGTACTTACCCATCAAATCTGTGGACTGAACAACTTTTAATATCATTAATTCTAACACTTTCCAAGAACTCGACATATTTCAAATTTTTTGCCATAATTAATAATTTTATTTTTACCATTTTCTTAGTATTCTTATTTTTTGTCACAATTTTTGATGACTTAGTTAATTGATTTATCAATTTGTATGCATAGATTTTTTATAGCCTAACACATTTTTAACTAAACTCTGTCATTAAATTCTGCTTAAACGCAATGCGCTCTAACAATTTGCATTCATTTTACATTTTTACTATATTTACTTTTACTATGCAGGACATTCCCGTTCTCATTACGGATACTTTTACACATAATTTAACTGCGCTTACAGTTAGCAGCGTCTATATAGATAAATATACATACATACAACAAAAATCGTAGACTAAGTACATTTGCTTTATACAAGTTTAGTAAGTTTATTATTTACAACTTGACTTAATCGTATTACTTTTCTTATATACTTGCATCTTCCAGCTATTTTATTTAATTTTATTTATTTTTTTGTGTTTGGGAACATTTTTGCTACAAATTAAATTTTTCTACTAAGTTTCAGAGTCTTTTTGAAGTTGCCTTAACTTTATTTATTATATTTATTTCCTTTTCATTATTAGTTTTTATACGCTTTAAATAAGTTGTTAAGAATTTTCAGTGTATGAAAAGACATAATTTTGCTTTGAATTTTGGAAATATTGTAAACATGGGTCCCTTACGGGTAAGGTTGGGCAACATCACCTTTTAACAGGTATTACCAATTTAATGGAGTAATTGCACATCATTTCTCCACTATTACTTTTTATTAAACGGAGTCGCATTTGTGTTAAATGATATATTTTCAAAGATATGTGATTACACTGCACTGGTTTAACAGTTGATAACATTGCTGTAAAAGTTATCGATAGCTTATCGATTTATCGATAGGTTCGCATTTTAGTATATTCGGTTTTCTCTGGTAAACGGTATCGATATAGAGTCAGTATCTCCCAAAAGTTATCGCTAACTTGTCGTTGCGACATATTTCAGCTAATATGTAGCTACCGCATTTGTTCACAGTTGTTTCTTATTTGATATTGCAAAGGATATGCCAGGAAATCTATGCGTAAGATATGCAGATGGTCGTAAAGAATATAACTTAACATAGCTATGCACAGCACCTTAACGGGAACATAACTACGACATACATATTTTATATATATACATACAACTACATACATATAACACGTTTAGCTGACGTTCTAGTCTAGTTCTAGGTGTGGGTGTAGATCTGAGTTGCTAATCGAAGGTCCAAGTCTAGACTTTATAATTCTCAACTTAGACGCAGCTCTCGGGCACACGTTGCGTCATGAGACAATCCTTAATCGCATTTATATTAATGTTGTCATCCAAGTCCTGTGAGGAATTGCACGAGGTGGTTGTTGTTGAGGTGACGCCCACGCCCATTACGCTACCTACACTGCCCAGCAGCAAACTCGAGCCAGAGCCGGGATGCTGATGATGATGTTGATGCTGATGTTGCTGGTGATGCTGCTGCTGCTGCTGATGATGGTGATGGCGATTTAAGGTGGCCGTGTGGCCCACACCAGCACCGCCGGGCGGATGATGTAGCCTGGCACTGGCATAGGCATTCATTATATAGCCACCGCCGCTGCCCAGGCCAGGCGGCAGTGTGCCGACACCGCTGCTGTGCGCCGGCTGAAGATGCGCTGCCAGCGTCGCCGTCGATGACAGCGACGTGGGCGATCCAATGATGGTGCCGCCCATGCCCAGTGTCAGCGGCTTGCCAGCGCCCAGGCTGCCCATAATGCTGCTGCTGGGCGAGATGACAGTGCTGCTGCAGCCGCCACCGACCGCTGCCACCGCGGCCAGCAGCTGTGCCCGCTGCGCATTGATCTGATTGTAGGTGACCGGCGGATTCGACGGATCGCTGGTCAGTGTCGTAGTCGTCGTCATGGTCGGTGCCTGTAAAACAGATGGCAGATAAAAGTTGAAAACGCATTCGACTCATTCAGCTAGAAAGTTTCCGAATGCCAATTGCATTAAGTACGCTAGCCCCACCACACTTCTGGCCCACCCATAGAATTTCTAAAAATATGTTTTGGTGGTTGAGCGTGTTTTTGAAACGGAAATTAGCAATTTACCAATGCAGTTCAGTTGGACCTATTTTTAATTTACTTAGCCGAAGTTTTCACACACTTTCAAGTGTAATACGGGCAAGGAAAATTAGTGCGAATATAATAGCTATTAATGTGGATGTGTCTTAAAAAGAAAAAATATCAAATCTAGAGCCACATTTTATTTGGTACTTTTACTTTTTTGATTTATTTAAGAAATTCAAACTTTTTATTGGCTTAAGCTATGTCGAATTTTTTAATTGAAATTTAATGATCAGTGATTATATTTTTGTCAATTTATATGTCATTTATATAAAAGGGTCTGTATCTCACAAGATGAAATTTCCAATTAGTTGAAGTTCAGGAAATTATTTTTTAAAATACACATTTCTTACACTCATTTTTTTAAAAAAATGTAAATCTTTTTTACATTGTTTCTGTTTAACTTTATGACTTCTAGCGCAGTCAAACTCGAGTATAGTTTTTAACAGCCTGCCAAATGTGAGCGTATAAAAACCAAACGCTTGATAATTGAAAAAATATTTTGTTTTCCGGAATTGGAAATTCTAATTGAAAATCTCTCTCATTGCGACTACCAAATTGCTGAATTGCATTGCGAATAGCCGTTGTTGTTGCCGATGCACCAATGCGGCGATTCTCCTGCTTGTGCCATGTTTACCAATATTTAAAATTATTTAATTAACGAATTGAGTTATGCCCACCATTTGCCATGGCTACGGCAGCTACGGCCACAGCTACGGTAACATTCCACGCCCTACGCCCCCCAATGCCTGTTGGTAATTTAAACATAATTGAAATCAGCGCAGCAAATTCCATTCACAGTATGCCCTGTAAAAACACCCACTAACCCCTCTTCGGCCTGGCGCTTATCTCTGCCAAAAACCGCAGCATTCGTAATATTTTTTTTGTAATTTTTATTATTTTTTTCTGGGTGTTTCTACACCCTGTTTTATACCCTAAAGACGGGGTAGAATTGTTTTGTGAAATGTAAAAACCTGGTAGCATTAAGCTTTTTTTCGAGCTCGCGAATTGTACAAATTCTTGTTCAGTATCAACAACAGATTTGATGTACCCAATTTATTTGTTTTATTGATTTAAAATGTTATGGAAGTTCGAATGCTTTAAATGGCAGCTTGGCACTGGCTACAGGGAATATTCCAATCGGGCTAAAATTCCACTTGCCAAACATGCATTTTGCTTGGCATTCCGAGTGGGATTCTCTTGGGTGTGGCAACAGTCAGTTTTTTGGCAGATTAGTAAAATTTGCTATATACATGCAAAAATATATATAGATATGGTATATATTTATTGGGGCAGTTGGTCTGTCAGTGGCATATGGTAACGAGCAGCGGTCTAATCGCACTCGGAACAGCTTATGATAATGCCATTGGCATTTAGACTAGTCGCAAAATCCATAAATGAACTCTAATTGCAAATTTAATGAAATGAAAACAAATGGCTGAGCGAAATGGTCACACAGTTGCGCCTATCTCGAATTTATAATTTAAGCTCAAATAAAACGAAAATTCCATTGAAATTATGAATAGTGCAAACATTGCTCGAAAATGTATTCATTTATTAAAATTATAATTGTGCATTAATGTTTTAATTGTTTTTGCTTTTCAAAAGCTTTAATTTGCGGTCTCTGTTTAATGGGCATAATATATAAAATATTAAACAAGCTACAAAAGGCTCACTAAGCCAATTCGCCATATAGGCATTAGCTGAAGAATTATAGATGTATATATTTTTCAAATGCATGTTAATATTATTTGTATGAATTGAAAACAATGAACAGCTTATTTCAAGCCAGAGGGAGAAAAGGTATAAATCATGTGAAAATATAAATATAGGCCACTTTAACCATGTCCAACTGTCTATCTACCTATTTGGTATCAAGTTGTACAAGTTTTTTTTAGTTTTTTATGATTATCATACCAAATATTATTACTGCCCCTTTAAGAGCCGCCTCTTATCACAATTGCATTCACAAAACAAAATGTTAACTAGAAATATTCACATAATACAGTTGGAATTAAAAGTAATATCATTTTCAATACATCAATTCTCTCCCAAATATTTTCCTCACTATTCATTTATCCCTTTTTTGTATTTTCATTTAAATTTAACCGAGCTAACTTTTGCATATTCCAAAATTGTTAGGCAACTCGATAATTTATTCTTTTCCATGAAACTTACAGCGCACACATGTTGCACATTCAATCACACTGAACTGATTTACGGCCACAAAATCCGTACCCCCCACCTCATCCGGCTAGTTAAGAAAGGCAGCCAAAGAATGTTAAGCAATATAAATACTGAAAATATTGATTGATTATAGGTAGCTCGACATGATGTATTGTGTTGGTAAATGGGCGAAATAAAGAAAGGAACTCGCAATTACCTTGTCGCTGTCTGTTGGCTGGTTGCTGGTTGCAATACAAAAATGCTTGCCGCATTATACTCGGTCTTAGCCAATGGCTTTTATTTATAACTCCTGAATGGGGGCCAGCAGCAAGACGTGCGCTCTGACAGTTTAAAAGCTTTTTTTAATAAACACCCTTTGGCATGCTTTGGGGCTTGAGTTTGAGGTTTCGGGTTTATGGGAGCTTGCGATTGGAATTGGAATTTGATCGCCCGCGCTGTGGTTGTCCACACTTTTGCTTAGCAATTTGGCACTTTGGGTATTTGATTGGTTTTGGTGTGAAAAGGGAAAAACCCCGAAAGCCCGATTAAATAATAACCAGAACTGATACGAGACTCATATCCGCACTTTAATAAAAAGGAAAGTCAAAGCCGAAAAAAAGAAAAATCGACGGCTCAATCAAATGGCAATGCAAGTCTAAAGGCAATCACTGCCATCAAATTTTTTCCATGTTCTGCTCGAATAGATCTTTTTTAATTATATCCCTCAATTTGTGACTGTAACTTTTGTGCACTTTGTTTAGTTTCTCATATTTTTCTTTTGCTGGTTTCTGAATATTCGAATAAATATGATAAGCTCTATGTTAGGTATATTGATTTTGATATGCAAATTGCCAAGAGAAAATTGCTAAAAATATATGAAAACAATATATTGAAGAGTATTTAAAAACAATAAGCAATCAAAATAAAATGTTTAAAAGGGAATGATACCAAGATTCCCTATTTAGGCATTAGCATGTTACTCACATGATTATCACACGTGAATTATAATTAACTGAAAAGGAAGCTGGAAAATTGATCTAACTATATTCAAATCCTACAATTAACAAAACATTAACAGAAAACTCTTAATTATCAATTATAATAATTAATGATAAACTACTTAAATGTTCATAAAATATTCATACTCGTGCAACAGTTTTCGTAGATTATAGAAAATCGCCAAAACACTTTAGAAAACAGTTTCTTGAAATTATTTGTTTACCTATTTTCTCATTTTTTTTGTTCCGATTTAAAATGATTTATCTCACAAATTTACTTTATAAATCTAAAAGTTGTTACTGTTTTTTTAAGAAAGATTTTATATGGGAGCACTTTCTTATAATTAATAGCCTTTTCTGATTTATAGAAAATATATTTTTTAAACCTAGGATAATTCAAATAAAGTATTGCGCTAAAAAACCTATATCTATAGATTGATATTTTCCCGTTGCAGCAAACCTTTACGGAATTTGCACCTTAAAGGACTAATTAAAGCGATTGATAGTTGAAACTGCACAAAGCCAATAAAAAAAGTAGTAGAAGGTATAAATATTGCTCATACGTAATACAGGGCTGGGTTACTTACATTGCCATTGGGTGACCATTTGGAAATGCTGCCAACGAGTCCAACGGCAGACGACGTCGCTGCTGGAGCTGCTGCCGCAGCAAACTGATGCGCATCGCGGTCGGTTGCGGACACAGCTGCGGCGACCGCTGTCGATGTGTTGCTGCCGGTGGCCGTGCCGGCTGTGGTGCTGCCCACATTGGAGGCATTGCTGCCGCTGCTGCCGGCGCTGCTGCCGCCCACTGTGCGATTGAAATTTATTGATGATGGTGCCACGTTTGGGGTCCGAGTTCGCGTTCGCGTACGAGATCCGAGTCCGAGTCCGTGGCCGAGTCCGGTGGTCATGTGAGGATGCGGTGGCGTTTTAGATTGGCGTATGCCATCGTTAAAAATATTTACGATTAAAAGAAAATTGCATCCGTTGATTGGATTGGATTGGTTTCGGTTCCGTTCGGTTCGGTTTGGATCGGTTTGGATTGGTTTGGCGGGGGGTCGCAGCATGTTTGGTTTGTCGGTCGGTATTGTTGTGTGTTGATGAGATTGATTACGATTACGCGATGTTGTCCGCCGAGCAAGCATCAGCGATAGCGAGACACATGAAAGTAAATGTTAGAAAAGTCACCATAAAATTTGATTAAAGTTGAATGATCAAAGTGTACGTTGTCGCACTATAAAACCCGTGTGACCCTGACAAACACGACAAACAACTCGAATTTCTTCCCTAGTCTTGGCAACATTCTTGAATACTCTTAACAGTTGTGATGCTTGAACTAGTTATCTTCAGGCCAAAATGCGTCTAGCTATTAAAAATATTCTCAATGATTTGCTTTTCCTCTTCTATTGAAAAAGTATTTCTGTAATTATACTCTAAATATGTATATTTTTTAACAAATTTGGATATATCTAACATCAAAAACTTTTACAAACTGCCTGAAATAGTTGATGTACCCGAAAAGTATTTGTAGTAAACGTCAGGCTGTTGTTTATGAGCTTACCATATTGTGAGGGTATTACATCGGGATCACGTTCGTCTTCAACCAAATCCTCCGATGATTTCGTTTTTATATCAGTGTGCTGCCAGCGCGGTTTCTCCAGGTTGCCGCTCTGCAAAAATGTCGCCAAACATTAATTTAATTGCAGTCGAGTGTCAGGTAGGGCAGTAGGAGTATGTATGCTCACCTTGAAGACATCGGCCGCTTGGACGACAACGCCCGCTGATGTCGCCTTGTTGCCATGTGGCCGGTTGCGTCGCAAATTGTGCACGAATGTTACCAGAAATATTCGTATCGCGATGGCCACCCCAATAATTATGATGGTCAGAACGCTGCCAACAATCACCGGGGACAATGTTAGCGTCACATCGTCGTCTGTTGTTATCGTTGTTATTGTTGTCATCGGTTATTGTCGTAATTACAGGTTGACAATCGTCGGTCATAAATCATCGTCGGTTTTAGATAGATTGCCATCGCACCACGCACATCGGACATCGCAAATATTGCACATATGTATCAGGGAGGCGTTTCCATTCAGTTTGTTTGTCGTTTGACAGTTTTATTTTTAGGCGAGGTGTGTCAACGATATGAAAATGAGAAGATTCGGAAAAAATTGGGTGTGAGTTATCTTGGCAACTGTACAGTGGGACGTACAATGCATTTAAATGGGAAACAAAACATTATTTTACTTATATACCATCTAACAACATAAGCAAGCGCACAGTGAAAGAACGCACTATGCAAAAAATAGAAAACAAAATTTAGATGAAAATAATTTAATAAATATAAAATATATGTCTTTGAAATGGGAATTGTACATTGGTTGAGGGAATCATTTTACAATTGTTAATAAACCCAGAAACCAAATTAATAAACTCAAGCGAATTGTCATTTATAATTAGAATAATGATTCTATTTAATCTATTAAATGGTTTAATGAATATTTAATTAATTAATGCAGCAATTGTTACGATTTAATTTAATTATAGTTAAAATCCTTAAAGAATTTCCGCTCTATTTTCTATAAATAATTTATTAAATTTTTCGAAAAAATTCCCAATATATTTTGAAGAATTCTGCCCTCTTTCAATAATTAATATTTTTAAAATTCTATAAACTAAAAATGAATTCATTATTGAGTGTGGTGCTAGTTTTCCCTGTAAGTATGCAAATCGATACATGAAATTATATACAAAATAAATTTCATACATTTTTCTCCCTATATGCAACCACTGTGCTTGGCCATGTTGCCTACTGAAGTGCACTTTGGCACATCAAAACAGTAATTTTACATATATTTTAAGCCATCAACATGCGGCCCATGAGGCAGGCATGTTGATTATGTAAGTACTGCAGATGATAATGGTACCTGTCAAGTGTTGCCACCATATGTGGAAGACACACACTCGCTCCTGGTCGGGGCTGTCAGGGCAAGTAGGATACCCTGGGCCTGGGATTAAAACATAAAATCACTGAAAAGCAGCAGTCTGCAGGCACAGTCAGCCAGAAGGCAGCAGCTTCATGTGTCAAATGCAAGCAGCAGCCCTACAATTCCCATCCATCAATCAAGCCTAGCCAGCCAGCACACACACATGTGTGAGTGTGTGTATGGTGTGTGTGTGTGTGAGTGTGTTTTGGTGTGTGCCACTCACCTGTCTTGTAAGCTGTTGAGCCAATTATGAAATCGGGCAAGAGATATGCCGCACTGCGTCCCTTTTGATTGTAAGAGTAAATGCGTATCCTCAGCGAGTTATTCTCCTGCATCATCATCGATGTGAGCGTATCGAGATTCTCCAGCGAGAAGAGCGCCTCCTCCGCATTGGTTAGATTAAGTCTGAAAAAAAGAAAAACAAAAGAGATAGACCCCAGGATATTATTATGTATTATTAAATCAGCATGGTAAATCAACAGCTCTAAGCCTTTAATCATGTGCAATCAAATGTCAGGATGGCACAAAACCTCGCCAACAACAAATATATTTGTATATACGCTTACGCCTTTTACATTTCTGCCTTGGACCATGGCACAAGTCAACCAATCTCACAGCCTATCCCACAAATGAAGACCAAGCCCACCCAACAGAAGCAACGCTCCAATCATGACCTCAATTTAAATTTGATGCCTTTTGCCTTGTTGCGGCTTTCACTTGTCTCTTGTCTCGGTCGCCCTTTTGTTTTTGCCAAACTCTGAAATATTAGGGTTCAATGTCTATATAAATTTTACATCATTCTTTCATCCTTTCTAATGCCCTTGCCGAGGATATTAGCAATTTCTGCAGCAGTATGTAACACGTTAAGACGAAAGTTTCGGAAGTCAGTATGTGTTTATACAAACAAAAATACTTTATTCAAATTTGAAGAAATTTTTAATTTTTTTAGTATAATGCGACATCTAGAAATTACTACTAAGCTGTGTTTAATATTTTAAATTAAACTTATTTAATTTATCTCATACCTTTTATTTCAAAATATACAATTTAATATCTGGCTTTAGTTTACCATACTGCAGTGTATTCAAGCTTCTTTATTCTGGAGCTAACTCTTCTCTTTTATTCCCCATATGCCATTTGCCTTAACAAACATTTTTACATTGATGACGACGTTTGTTGTGTTTTGGCGCAATCTTTTTGAATTAGGGTCCTTTGATATTTCTGGGGCTGCTTTCATCATTCCCCCCGCGGGTCAGTGCCATTGTTTTAATAAGCAATATTTATGAAATGTTTCTGGTTTTGTCTCGTTTCGAGGGCAACTGACAGAATATTTATACAATGCTGCCGCATAATGTTATGTGTGCATATGAATACGATTCGACGATTTAGGGCTTGGGCCGTAATAAAAATGCGCATTTTTTTAAATACCCATTTGACATGCATATAAATTGTTGATTGTCGCTCACACAATATTGTGTGGAGGGTGAACTTGGCCTGAAGCGCCCTCTCTTACGCCTAATTACACGCCCCCCCAAGGAGCGTACACACACATGCTGATATGCCAAACACTTGTCTCACACACACACGCACACCGGACAGAACGGCTCATCCCTTTGCCCTTTACTTCGCTACATACACACAATTGTCAAACTGAAACTGATATTGAATAATATTCTGCTGGTATCGCTTAAAGGTAGCTGTCAAATGCAGATAGAATTTATATATTGTGTATATGTGTGTGTGAGTGTGACCATACAATATACCTCATGTATTTATACACCATATCAAGCAGGCTGTGGCTAACCAAAGGTATCTATAAAAAGTAAAAGTATCTGTAGATGCAAGCTAATTTGTGAGGCAGACGCATTGTTAAAGTAATAAACGCCTGTGTCAGGATATTTTGACGGAACTATGCAAACTTAAATAATGATAGACTGAAAAACATAACTATATTAACTTGGCTGTTCATACTGATCTAGAATGTGTATATATACCTTATGAGTGCAGATAAATCTTCTGCTAATCGTTGCACACTTAATGACAAAATCATAAAATTCTCTGCAAGGGTATAGAGCTTACAATTCCTTTTCTAAACTACAGCAAACCTTTTTTACTACTTTACTTCTATGTAATGTAATGAGAAATTCTTTCTAATAGACAGTTAAAGTTAAGTCCATGTGCTCCATCATAAAATATATTGCGAAAAGTTTAATTTCGTTTTCTGCAAACGTGAAACGTCACATAGCTTCTAATAGCTTGAACATTTTTTTGCTATAGTCCTCTCAGCATTCTTTTCGTTTTTGCCATACTTATTTCAAGTAGATCTTAAATTAGTGCCAACTTATAATAATACACTCCCGACCCACTTGGATTCACCTGAGGCAATATTAAATCGTATATTCTCAGTTATTTGACATATGGTGAAAACCTGAGCCTTTAGGGGACTAAGCAAAGTTGCCAAACGTAATCCGCTTATAAGCGTGCCAGAGGAGAGAGGGGCGGGACTATCCGTTGTCGACAGGCAACGTGTTGTCCGTGCGTGTGTGTTTGTGTAGCTGTCGGGCTGTACGAGTAGCTGATTAATATGCTTACCTGGTAATGCCGGTGCGTGTTGAAAACATTTCGAGTACAAATATTTGAGGCAGACCGCCGTCGTAGCCGGGTATGCATTGTATATCAACACTGAGCTCTGTGCGATTGAAGATGCTGCAATTGCTGACGCCATTTGGCAGAGCTGCAAGTTGGGCATTGGGGTTGTCGGAATCACATTTATGTTGTCCAACGTGCGCAGGTTGTGCAGCAAATTAACAAGAAATACAGAGAAAAAGAATATATATATAAATATTTGCTCTCTTTTTTTCTTTTTTTTTTTTGGATTCGTAATGCTGACAAAGCCAGATTGTTGCACTCACTTTCTGGTCTGTTTGTTTCGGGTTAAATGTGAGAGTCAGTGAGGGCCACGTGAGTGTTTGCTTGTGGCCTTAACTTGTTGGGGTCAAAAAGCAAATACTCAAGAAACAGACAGACGCACACGTAACAGTTGTTATGTTTATACAATAAGTTAAAAGCTTGCAATAGTATATCACAGTAGAAAGGTTTTTTGCTGCTAAAAGTGAGATATATATAAAATACAATTACGAGCAGTAAAAAACAAAAGTATCTGCAAAATAATATATAATCAATGTGATAAGAAAGGTACAAAAGTACTAAAATGATTCCAGTGTTTCTTAAGAGCACAAGAGTATCTAAAAGATGCTCAGGTATCACAAATATTTAAATGTTTCTAAAAGATACAAATTTTGCAAATTAAAGTTATTAAAGTATCTGAGAGAGACACAAGTATCTAAAAGAACTTTAATAAATGAGTCTAAATTTAAAAAATATATATCTGAGTCAGAAATGCTGCGGAAAGAAAACAAGTATCTGAAAGATACTGCGAAAAAAGTATCTGAAAAATACAAGCCTCCAACCTACACTCACTCGATAGTCTGTAGATAGCCCCTATGTCCTGTCAGTTGCAGACTGTGGGAATGTCGGAGTCAGCTGATTACAGTAACACATACTTCAACGAGAAACATAACTTGAAAGCTAAGTTCTTCTATGAATAACTTTTTTATTTTGTTTTTTCTTCTTCCATGTATAGGTAAATATTATATGTCTTTGAAAGGAAAATGTTTTAAACATTGCTACACATACATAGACAACTCTTCTTACTTGTGTATTCTATTTAATCAATTTATTTTCTCCATTGCTGAAACTCATCCTGATGCCATTCTTGGTCTCACACCTCGACTGTTTCAATTTGAATAAACTGCGTTCGACCCACCGCCTTTCTCTGGGTGTATCATTCCGGCCGCTTAATCTGTGACCCGGTAAGTAATCCTAGACCCATTTCTCCTGACATAATAAACTTATATAACTCTTTCCGCGCAACAATTTAGATTCCTATCGATGCATAAGGATATTCTATCAGAGCCGGCCAACACCCTGGAGGACGAAGTGGCCAAGTTGGCGCTAAGCTAAGCAACATTTTATGCTAAATGAAATTTATCGTATTATAAACATAACGAGAGTTAAATTTAAAACAGAACATTTAAATGCGTTTTTATTTATCTGTTATGGGTTCCATTTGAAAGCTCCTATTAATTTATAGGCTGAGATTGCGCAAAGCAAAAAAGCCGCCGCCATGGATTCTTAGATGACATCATATTGTTTTGATGCAGCACTGTGCCATTATTCCTTACTATCCTAACGCACCAAGGTTTTTGAAAATCGGCAAGGATATGACCGAGTTATGACAATTTTTCTTAAAAGGATGTTGTCACAAAATCGGCCATAACTTGGCCATTTCAAGTACTATCCTGATGTCCTTTGGCCAACAGATTGTCATTTTACGTCCAATTAAGAATATTTAACAAAAAGGACGAAAGTCCTTTTGAGAGCTGAGAAATGAGGACATTTATGTATACAGTTAGTCTTATAACTCGGCCATATCCTTGCGTATCCTGACGAGTCGTATGTCAAACATTGGGCATGGGCTAGGACTATAGCGTGGCCGAAGGACATCTTTCTAGTCCTTGTACTTTTCTAGTTATGGCTACTTTTCTATACAGGACATTCTTTTTATAGCCATAACTCGGCCAAATCCTTAAGGATATCGAAAGGATATATCTTTTTGAGTTCGTGGGGATCAGATCTATCGACTTGCATTCAAGGATTTCCAGGATTCGACAAAAAAATTTTCCGAAATTTCTGTAAGGGGTTAGTCGGAAAATCGAAAATTTCAGGACTAACTTCGCCATTTGAAGGACTATCGGGATGTCCTTTGGCCAGTAGATAGTCCTCGTCATCCCATTGAAGAATATACAAACCGAAGGACGATAGTCCTTCAAACAGCTGAGAAAACAGGACTTCTTTGTAAACAAAAAATAGCCCATAACTCGGCTATATCCTTGAATATCCTGACGAGTCCTGTGTCAAAAAAATTGTCTTGACCAGGGCTACCAACTGGCCAAAGGACATCCAAATCGTCCTTTTAGTTTCCGAGATATTAAGGAATTTGTGTCAAATGACCATTTCCCTGCAATCCGGGACTGATAAAATGGCCAAGTGTAGGATTCTTAGATGACCCCCTAATTTTTTGATGCAGGCCGATGCGCTTGGTCCTTACGAGCCTAACGCACCATGTCGTTTGAAAATCCGCAAGGATATGGCCGAGTTATAAGCATTTAAAAATACATATTTTATTTGGTCGGCAGAAAATAAAACATTGCATACCCGTAAGGGGCACATTTAATGTAGCTCTTTTAAACTTAACATTTTTGCCCCTTCCATGTATGCATTGATTTTTTTCATGCAAAGATTTTCGTCTACCTGCTAGACATTTCTGTTCGCCTGGTATTTTAGTGAAATTTCGGTCGCGACCCAGCCGGCGACAAGGGCGCCCCTTTTGGATATGCAATGAATAATGCTCGGCAGCTAAAAATATTTTTTATCGACCTTCTGTGCATTTCTGTTCGCCTGGTATTTTGGCAGATTTTAAGAAAAATCTCGGCAGCCAGCCAAAACGACATAACTTCGCCTGGAGATATGACGTTCCACAACGACATAACTCCGCCTGGAGATATGACGTTCCAAAACGACATAACTTCGCCTGGAGATATGACGTTGCAAAACGACATAACTTCGCCTGGAGATATGACGTTCCAAAACGACATCTCGGATTGCAGGGAAATGGTCATTTGACACAAATTCCTTAATATCTCGGAAACTAAAAGGACGATTTGGATGTCCTTTGGCCAGTTGGTAGCCCTGGCCAAGACAATTTTTTTGACACAGGACTCGTCAGGATATTCAAGGATATAGCCGAGTTATGGGCTATTTTTTGTTTACAAAGAAGTCCTGTTTTCTCAGCTGTTTGAGGGACTATCGTCCTTCGGTTTGTATATTCTTCAATGGGATGACGAGGACTATCTACTGGCCAAAGGACATCCCGATAGTCCTTCAAATGGCGAAGTTAGTCCTGAAATTTTCGATTTTCCGACTAACCCCCTTACAGAAATTTCGGAAAATTCTTTTGTCGAATCCTGGAAATCCTTGAATGCAAATCGATAGATCTGATCCCTACGAACTCAAAAAGGTATATCCTTTTGATATCCTTAAGGATTTGGCCGAGTTATGGCTATAAAAAGAATGTCCTGTATAGAAAAGTAGCCATAACTAGAAAAGTACAAGGACTAGAAAGATGTCCTTCGGCCACGCTATAGTCCTAGCCCATGCCCAATGTTTGACATACGACTCGTCAGGATACGCAAGGATATGGCCGAGTTATAAGACTTTAACTGTATACATAAATGTCCTCATTTCTCAGCTCTCAAAAGGACTTTCGTCCTTTTTGTTAAATATTCTTAATTGGACGTAAAATGACAATCTGTTGGCCAAAGGACATCAGGATAGTACTTGATATGGCCAAGTTATGGCCGATTTTGTGACAACATCCTTTTAAGAAAAATTGTCATAACTCGGTCATATCCTTGCCGATTTTCAAAAACCTTGGTGCGTGAGGATCGTAAGGATTAACTGCTTTAAATTGCATCAAAAGATTAGGGGGTATCTAAGAGTATCTGTTGGCTAAAGGACATCCGATGATTCGATTTGCCAGCAAAATTTGCATGATTTCGCTATCTACGTTCACCAGGACTACATCTAAGGTATAGTTTAACCATAGATATAGGGGTCATCTAGGAACTATCAAGAGGGGCGTGGCTGCTGTGTGTGTCTCAAAAAAGCATGCATATATTTCTTGGCCATTTCCTTGCGAATTTTACAAGAATTTGGCCCTTTATGTTCACCAGGACTTTATATAGGGCACGTCATGACCAAGGATATTGGGGTCAACTAGGAACCATGGAGAGGGGCTGCGGAAGAATCATACATATCTTCTTAGACCATTTCCTTGTTAATTTTAAAGGAATTTGGTCTTTTAGGTTCACCAGGACTATATCCATGGCATGGCGTAACCAAGGATATAGTGGTCATCTAGGAACCAAGCTAAAAAATCATTTATTTATAATTTCTATTATTCCATTATTATATTATAGTAAGTTATATTATGCTCTATTAAATATTATATTATTATATTTTATATATATATAATATAATATATTATATTATTTTAATATCCTATATTATTATTTTACTTATGACGAAAGCATTTGGTTGTTTACAAACAAAAAAAATTCTTAAAAAGAATAATTACATTAACGCCTTACTTAAAACAATTCACAAATGAAATACGCAAACAGAATCTTTTTACATAAAAAAAGCTATTTGCAGCTGACAAACTAAAGGAACTAAAGCTTTGGTATGTATAAGCGTAGCAGCCTTTACAGTGAGCACTCATTAAAACGGTTGAGCTACTGTGCGCTTACCAGCTAAAACCACTTGGAAAAGGCAGGGCTGTTGTTGTGTGCCCACCTCGTTAGCCGCCCAGCAGGATAGTGTACCATAATCCTGCAAATACGTCAAAAATATATGAATGTAAGTACCTTTATGTGTGAATGTATGTACGTATGTATGAATATGAATGGCAACGACTATGCTGAATGTGTGTCGCAATTGGTCGGGGTAGTTATTTACCTGATCTGTGACCGGAGTGTACTTTAAAATGCTGCGGCTTCCATTCACGCTGAATCGTTCGCTGCCCACGTCCAGAGTTTCGCCCGAGTTGTTAAACTTCCAGCGAAATGTTCTGCACATGTTTGTTGTTTTATTTTTATGGTTGTTGTTGTAGTTGTTGTTTGTGTTGCGTTGACATTTTGACAGTTGCGTTGTCAGTAGGAAGCGCGTGCAAAAGGCAGAAACATCAGTCCAGCCGAAAGCCGTATCGGAACAGAGAGGCGAGACCGATGGGGCAGCGGGATGGCCAGCAAGTGAGACATGTTTGGAAAGTTTTACATTTTTAAAATAGCTCGTTAAAATATTAAAGGTTAAACACACCCACACAAACAAACACAACAGCGCGTGCACACACACACACGCACACACACATAATATCACAGCCAATCTGTCGAGCTAAAGAGTTGAGTCCTCGCACATGGAAAACCTTTTAAAAGGTTAATTATCTCTGGCATATTCGGTTGGACGCTTGCGCTTTTCTCACTGCTTTCATAAATGAATAAAAGCTGTATACGAATATTTATAAATGCGACAGAAATTTTAAATATATGTGACAGAAAAACTATATATTAAATTCAAGAAATTAATAAATATGTGTGACTTCGTCCAAAATAAATGTATTTTAATGGAGAAAAGCGAAGCAGTTGAGAGTTCTTTTTTTATTCTTTAAAAATTCGTGCAAAATCAAAAATATAAGCAAAAAATGGCTAGTAAATAACAGTTTCCTTGGTGTTAAATAAGTTTGCAGATTTCAAGCACAGTCGCAATACATAAGACAAAAAATCTATATACCAAATCGGAAACATATTTAAATATCACAAAATTATATTGCAAATTTACTGCAAGTAGAATGTTGATCACATTTTGTTCAAATCAAATTTAAATTGTTTGAAGGATATTCACTTTAATTTTCATTCTAGCCGCTGATTTGCAATTTTCTCTACATGATACTTTAAAAACAAGAAGACGAAAAAAATAGCTGGCATCGCTGTCAAGCAGTTAAATGCTGATAAATTAACTTGTAGCCGCCCACCTCGGGCTGGCTGGCTGCGCGTAGTCCCCCCCTCAAGTATGCAGCAGCTTTTTTAATGTTCACGCTGAGCAACGCCCTCAGCCAAAGCAGGATTGCCTCCCGCCACACCCCTCGACAGTTGTGCTCTACCACAACAATTACACGAGGCAGCTGCGCTGCCAGCGGCAACAACGCGCATATTTTGCGCCAGCTAATGATTAATTATTTTAGCATAAAGCGTCAACTCAAGACTTAGCCACAGACAACGAAAAAAGGAAAGCCAACAACACAAAAAAGCGAGACAGAAGGAAAAATTGAAATTAAATACAAGACAAGGCAGCTGGACAGACGCAGAGAAAGCCGAACATGAAGGATGCCAGGGTGAGGGCGAGGGCGAGGGCGAGGGAGCGGCATGCATAAAGTCGCTCGACAGGCCACAGCGGTGCGCCGTGGTGCCAAGGCGGCGGCGGGCTCATTAAAAAAACATTAAAGTGGGGCAAATGTGGCAATGTGAATTAACAGCGTCCAGCACTCACACACACCCTCCTTCCCACAACAACAGCAGCTGCATATTTAAAATAAATTAAAGTGCTCACATTTAAGGCATGCTGAGACGAAGCTTTCAAGTGTCGGCAAATCAAAATATTGTTGAATTTCACACATTTCCTAACATATAAACAGCATTTTCCGTTACACACACCCACCCACACCCACACACACACACACACACACACACACACACACACACACACACACACACACACACACACACGCACACAATTACAGTCATTTGTCAATTTGGCAAACTTCCATTCAACAGGAAACCGGAAGCAATTGCCTAAAAAAAAGGCAGCACAGAGGAAGTTCTGCCACAGGCAAGCGGAGGAGCAGCCGTTCTTCGTAGGCAGGTCCCCCTTTCTTTGTTGTTGTTATTAAAACTCACCGTGGCGGCGGATCCGCTTGTATCTCGCATATAACCTCAACAGTCTCATCCTTGGAGGCACCAATTAGTATAACGCGATCCGTATGCTTGCAAACAGGCGTGTCTGATATGAAGAGAATAAAAAACAATATAATTAATGAATGAGGATATAGTGTGAAGAAATCTCCTTAATTATAGAGAAATAACCGCATATGCAGAACCTTAGCACCTCGCCCAGAAAACTAAAATAAAACTATTTTCTTACTGTATCGAAACTTAAGTATCTGTGCAATATACTGTAACTGTAATCAAAATGAAATTGTTTAAGAATGAATCTTACAAAATATATAAAAGATTTATATTAAAGTGAGTCGGTTAATTGAAGGACAGCAGTTGAATTCCTCACTTTAATAAACTTGTCTAAAATTCCTATAAAATCAGTTAACTAAAGATAATGAAAATTACAGTCAGTAGGGCGGTACACATATAAGGACAAACTTCGTATGGGTGGCATAAAAATAAAGGAAAATGTTGTGAAAATAAAAGAAAACGCTGAAAAATGAGGCAACGCATTTGCCTGTTGTAAGTTGTCGGCGCGTTGAGGCAAACGCACAAAAGTGATTTAGACAGCAGGGCCGCCCACTCATCTGTTAGAGTAGGCGCCAAATACGGAGAGAAGGAGCGGCAGTTGCGGTGGGTGGGTCGAGGGGGCGGCCATGGCAGTCAGTCAGTGTCAGAGGCAATGGCAACGCCGCGGAGTTCCGTCGAGTGGCAACGCGACGTCCTTGTTTACTTGAAATTAATTGATGTGGCAACATGATTTAGTACTCGCAGGTAAATAAGGCGTTCATAAATGTTAAAGGATTATTAGCTGACAGCACACGTGGCGTATGCGTAATTTTACGTTGTTGTCAACGCCCCGCTGCCTACCACTGCCAGCCCATTAACTCACCAAAACACCAGCCCACCTGCCCACCTGCCCTCACAGGAACCAAACCAAACCAAACGCATTAGCAGTCAGGCAAGCTGAATTTTTGATGAATTGTTTGTCTTAAAAATTTACAAAAGGGCGTAATTAATTAGCCAAAAACAAAAACAAGCCTCTTTGTTGTTGCCTTTCCTGTCTCTTATTTAAATTGCGAGTTCACGAGGGCTGTTTGATCAGTCGTCGTCAGCTAATTAGCCAGCACTCGAGACAGCACTGCAAAAGCACTTGTTGCCCTTTGTTGTACAAACAGAAAAGTTCAATGACATCAAACGAATTGTTGGCAGGGGAAATTTTATACATTCCGCATTGAATGAGTTTCAGAGCACAATTGGCCTTGTCTATGGGATTATAAATCGAGCTTTATCTTTGCTAAAAGTGTGCACAGATTAATAAAATTGACTAAATGCTTCTAATTGTATTATTCTTAATAAAAAAACATCATGAAATCAACATATGAAAACCCTACCCTATAATTTTTAAGACGAATTTACCAAAAAATAAAACGCTAGACTTGTTGCACCGTGTTAAATGTAACCTAACTAAATCCTTTTAACTCAACAGAGCTATGTTATAAACAACTTGTTAGCCAAATAAGCTGCTAAGATATTAGAGTCTCTTTATTGAGAAAATGATTCTAGATCTAATTTGCGTATCAACTGATAATATTTTGTCAAAGAACAAGTAACATTTTAGCAACATTTTATTATCAACTGATAATATTTTGTCAAAGAACAAGCAACATTTTAGTTAGATTACCATCAATTAAGTTAAAACATTTGTTCAAATAGTAGCTGTTAAAGCTGCAAATGCTTCAGGGCTTCAACAAAAACCAAAATGTTAGTGGCCGCTGTCTGCAGCGAAGTTGGCAGCAACGTTGACGTCGACATCGACGTCGCCAAGCCATTTAATTTATGGCCCGAGGCAATGCGTCTGTCTAGCTGCAAGTAGGGGGCGGAACAGCGGCACTTGAGTTGGGGAGCAGCTTGTTGTTGCAACATGTGTAACGCTTAGGGGCAACAAGAGGCGACAGACTAACCGCTAAATCCGGCTGCGAAGCTCATTATGAGCGCGATCAGGAGCCGCGCGGAGGCGCTTGTCAAATTGCTTGAATTAAAGCGCAGCTGCCTGATGCAGCAGCTTCTTGCGACAGTGAAGAATAAGAAGATGTAGAGAAAGAGAAAGAGTTGGCAACATTCCGCGGCCATTTAAATTGAAGCATAATTCCGGAGCAGCTGCAACTGCAGCAACAGCAGCAGCAGCAGCAGCAGTGGCAGCAATGAAATATGAGGCAACGCATGTGGCAAGCATATGAAAAGCGACTGGATTTCCCAGATAAGGCGAAAGGGCCGATGCGGGGCTGCGGGTCGGTGCGCTGGCAAAATGTTGTATTTATGCAAAAAGCGAAATGAAAAATATTTTCACAGCCTTGACTTGCAACTGCGCCGCAGCGAGACGACTCAACTCGAGTTGAGCCCAAGAGCAACAATAAAAAAGAAAATGTAAAAAAATGCAATACATCAAATGCGGCATGGGCGTGGCATGAGGCAGGGTAGAAGCTGCAGCTTGACAACGACGGCAACGACAACGTCGCTGTCTGACTTTATGATAAGAAAAGCATGAATGGAATGGGGAGCGCGGGCGCGGCTGTCTACCAGATAGATGACGCACTCAAACAAAGTGCCAGCCATATTACTCGTAATGCCAACTGATGCAGACAAAACATAAACTGGCAGCAGGACAACAGTTTCTAGGATTATGGCATGCACAGGCCGCTTGATCTATGCCATCTCTCCAGCTCACTCTCCACACCTCTCTCGTAATGCTGCCCTGCATATTTGTATACTCACATTTAACACGCAGCGGCAACTGATTGCTGACCGTTTCGCCTTCATCATTGATGGCGCTGCACGCATAATTTCCCGCATAGTGTTTCGTTATCTTCTGCAGCACCAGGCTCTGATTGGAGCGTATGACACGAGCCGATGTATTGTGCTCCAAGTGAATGCCCTGAAAGCAACCATAAGAATCATATAAAGCACGAATATTTATTATTGACGACAAAAATAAAGTTATTATTATGGCGCCGGAAGCTCGGCGGTTGTGCATAATCGAGAAAATAAAAGGATTTTCCGGTTTAACCTTCCCTGGTCAGGTTATACTGATTTCTATGCTAGGCAATTCTGCAGTTCTTGGCAGTCTTACATATATATTTATTTTCGTGAAGACTAGTTCTCCCAGAGTTAGATAGTCCATAAAAATGATTTCTAAAGAATCTCATTTTATTTCCTAAAATAAGTATAAGGTTTTATTTTTAAAAGAACTTTCGTAACTCTCTCAATGTAAGGAATATCAATAATTAATTCAAATACTGAAGTGTAATCTTTTCTAAAGAATTCATAGAACCTCTCTCAAAATAGGGAGTGCAGAGAAAGGTCTCAAAATGTAGTTTAGGAATTCGAGTGCTAGCTGGCGGAAAGTGCCTAAAATGTACCCCTTTGAACAATTAAAGTATAAATAAATACTAAAATGCAAAATCTCTATTTCTCTGACATTTCTAGAGCGCTCTGCCATATTTTGTCTGCATCTGACGGAGGCAATTTCCATTTGCCAATATGTGTGTGTGAAACAATCGAGTGTCTGTTAAACCACTCAAAGCCCATCCGCAAACAAGAAGCAATGCTTCTGGTATAGCATTCATTCTACTGCTGCTGAGCACCGAGACTTGGCTGACGTCAGTCGTGTGCTCTTTGCTGATTGATTGCGGGCGGCGGCACCGATTGCGACTGCGACTGCGACTGCGAGTGAGCGACAGCCAAAGTGATGTTCAAAATCAATGCCGCAAATCCCAAAACTATTTTGCTCGAAACGGCACATTGCGGAGTTGGTTGCCTGCCCCTTGCACCTTTGTGACCGCCATTCTTGGTGTGAAATGAATTGAAATGAGCAAATGCAGCGCAATGCATCCTAGGGGTAGCATCACCAGCAGCAGCAGCAGCAGCAGCAGAAGCAGGAGCATACGCAACTTGCCAATGTTATTGACACTTAAACAGAAATGAATGGAAGCCAACCAAGCAGACAGCCGGCTCGGAGCCAGGCACAGGACCTGGTTTGACGGACGACCTGGAGCCCAGTTGCTTCTGCCATTGTTGTTTCGGGTTTCGGCAATGGGGTTTTGCGTTTTGGGGTTTAGTTTGTGTTTGGCGGGGCATGCGGACAGACAAGCGCTCACTTCCAGCTGACTTGACGCGACCTACATTATGTAACCACAACAGTTTCCGCCATTGAGGATTCGATTGTACGTGACACTCGAAGTAAACATCGTCGCCTTCCTTGATATCATCCGGTGTCAGTGTGGAGCCCAAGCGCAGCGTTACCAATGGGGGATCTGCAATGATTTCAGAAATAAACAAATTTGTAAGTAATTATAGCAATTAAAACTAATTAATTATGGATTAGTCGCTGATTATAACTGCTTTGAAAAGCTTTGCACAGCAACTGTAAATAATTGTAATTTAATTTAATAATTGTTTTTTTTATTCAATGCATTGACATAATTAATAATCACCAGCTAATTGATTGGACTGTGTGGAACTGTACTCATCAGTGTTGATGATCGTTAATTTAGATAATATTAACTTCTACGAAGCGTGGGTCGAATGTCTTTATAATAATATACTCTATATGTAGAGGCTTAAGTATCAAGTTCCTTTTTCTATCTAAAAACAATATATTTGTTAATCCTTTAACACATCAGAAACAAGAAAATCCTCTACATAAGGCTATTTTAATAATTTTATTCATTTAAATTTCATTTTCTTTAACTTGACTCTGCGCACTTGTTTCCGATTTAGGATAAAATCAGTTAAATTAACTGACAGAGTTATCTTTTTCTTCCATTCTCCTATGCCAAGAAATGCCTTTGTGTTATATTTATAGGAAATAATTGAACTCATAACAAGCCTATATCTATCTGAAATTGTATTCAAAGTATGCAAAAACTCTGTAATATGGTATATAAGTAAATTAGTAATAAGATGATTAAAAGTCAATATATGATAAATGAAACTTGCTGCTTTGAGAACCTTTCCCTAAAGTTAACTAGCTACACTTTATCGTTGCTGCAAGTAGACAATTGTATAAAGCAGCTACTTTACGAACTAAAGACTCAACATTAGAGTTTATAGAGTTCCATATAGTCCCAGAGATGTTATGATTGCCCCTTTCGTGTCATCAGCTGTGCAATAAGTCGAGTGATCTATTTGATTTAATAGTGGCTGCAAATATGAGCGATTTGCTGCAACGACAGGAACATCAACAAAGAGTTATGGGAACAACAATCTAATGGTAGCTGGGCACAAGGACCAAGGATCGCACACACTGGTCTGGCCTGGCTGTGGCCGGGCCTGACTATGCCTGGCGCTGCTTGTGAACATGTGTTGCCGCTTAAGTCGTTTGAATTTGCTTAACGAGCCACAAACTTTGCGACAAACACAGCACAGAACCTCGAAGGAAGGACGTGCACGTGCCAACCTTAATATTGTTGAGTTATTGGCGGCCAAAGCCAAACGGCGCCAGTCAAGAGTTAGACGACAGCAACGACAACAACGACGCCGACGACGACGAGCGGGTCCAAAAGTTTGCTCACTTTAGAATGGCCTCGCAAACTTTACTTTACCCCAGTCCAACCCCCCCAACACTCCTCTTCGACACATGCAAAGGTCTGACTTGGCAGCCGGCACCAATCGCCCCGCCAATCAGCAAAAGTGCTCGAAAGGGACCCGCAGCAAAAACTCTTTCGCCAAAAGTCGCGCCGCCGTATTTCCGCACACATGTTGCAGGCCATTTTTGTGATTATCATTTACCGTTAGCTGCCACCTCGCCCAAACTGAAGGCTGCTAAAACCACCCAAGCCAAAAAAAGGGGGTGGCACTACTTGCCAAGCTTCTGGGGGTGGCCATCGATCGAGGGTTTGCTGAGTTTCGGGCCTCTCAGTTTCCCCCGTAATTTATGTGCAAATGAAAGTCGGTTCATTTGATATTTGGGACGGCTGCGCCACGATTCAGCGATTTTTTCACTGAATTAGTGCACTAAAACTAGCCGCAAATAGAATACAGCTTGGATTTGACTATGGCATTAATTTAGTAATATTTAAAAATATTACTTGCTAAGTTTATATAGCACGAGGTATTGAATATTATACGCTATGCCCATGGAAAATGGAAGAAGGCAGAAAAGCATCTCCGATCCCATGGTGTACAAATTCTTGGTCCGAAGAACGAGCTAGCCCGATCGGTCGATCTCTGAAATATGAAAGCGACAAAAAATGGGTAACTCTATTCTGCGGAATAGAAGAATATATTATATTCTGCAGAACGAGCACCCTTTCTTTGCCAATATCTCAATTTCTCTCCCATTTCCATGATATCGATCAATATAGATTTTAAAACTGGGATTTTCAGAAACTGTAATAGCTAACTACTTCAAATTTGACACATAGGCTGTCGTATAATATACGCTAATTGGGAACATTTCACTTTTTGAGAAATCTTATTAAAAGCTAAAGCTTTGCGCTTTTCTACGGAGCTGGGTGTCGTACTTGGGCCATGAAAGGAAGCCTAACGATAATCAATATAATTTAATTGAATAAACCAATTATCAAATTCACATTCTTTTAAAAATCAATAATCAATAATCCATATAACTGTTGGTATTGATTTGATTAAGTATACCAAATAAACCATGAACTAGTTTTCATTATTTGTTCCTGATTATCCAAGGCTTTGGTTTCGAATGCAACCACAAAATACAACTGTCCATAATAACTGTTCTGAGTTTGTAGACATGACACGGCTTTAACTTTAGCAACATTTATGTAATCTTTAATAGATGTGCATATATATCATCTAGAGGGCATAAACCCTATTGCTATGCTCTAGCATGCGTCCACTTTAAAAATATCAACTCAAATTGCGGCATTGAGAAAAATATCGCGATGCTTTCGCTTTTTCGAAATGCGAGGCACGCACACAGCACAAGCGTCAATGTAGCCCAGCCATAAACAACGGGCAAGGGACATGCACACACACACACACACACTCACACACACTCACACACACTCACACACACACACACACACACACACACACACACACACACACACACACACACACACACACACACACACACACACACACACACACACACACACAACACACACACACACACACACACACACACACACACACACACACACACACACACACACACACACACACACACACACACACACACACACACACACACACACACACACACACACACACACACACACACACACACACACACACACACACACACACACACACACACACACACACACACACACACACACACACACACACACACACACACACACACACACGCACACACACATTTTGTCTCTATAGTGCGCTCATGGGAATCTCTATGTCTGTGATTGCATTGCATGCTTTGTTGTCCTGCTTCCTTGTTTTGCCGGGGCCACATTATAAATTTTAAAACGAGCGTGTCACATACGCACACATCGCGCGCACACATAAAGAAAATTATATGTACGGAATGCAGCAGCTACCACACCACCCCCTCCCCACTCCCCCTTTGGCCCTGGCATAAAGTACGGCAAATGGCCTTGCCAAATGCCGTGCCTAAGAAGCCAAAACGAAGTTGGCATAATAACTCAGGCTTGATGCTGAATAGAGATATCGTATGGGGACAACAGCAACAAGGACATGACACACAACACAACAACAAAAGCAGCAGGATCAACAAATGCGAAACGATGCGGAACATATTTGCCCAATGTGTGCACAAATTAAAAATACGAAAATATAATTGAGATAGCCATAGGCGACTCCAAGATGCGCTATGAATAAGTCTTTTGGCTTATACAGAATTTCGTGCACATTCAAGAAAAGTTTTCCGGCAATGGTTTCTTTAACTAGTTTTAAGGAGGCAAATTTCGGGGAAAGTAATAATATATAAGGCAGTGCCTGCTCCTTGAGAATCTGTGTTAAGATCCCAAAATAAAGTTGCTAAAATTAGCAACTGTTGTCTGGCTTGGCATCGGCCCCTTCTTTCTACATTATAATTTGTAGTTAAATATAGAAACCTATCGAAATAAAGAAACACATCGAAGGTGAATAATTCTTTCAATGGTTGTTAAACCCTTCAAACGTATTGTTACTTTTTGTAAAAATGAAAAAAGCTCTGCTTTAAATGTTCACCTGTAAGATAGGCGTCAGCTCTGCCACTCTTAATTAAGACTTTAGTAAGATTATAAAAATGCATATTCATTTTATATGCTCTTTTTCAAGGTGAGCTTTGCAGTCAAGGCAGGGCCCGAATGACTGTAGGGTAATATGCTTAAATTAAAAAGCATAATTTATATTTATATATATTTTTTTTTTTTTTTAAGTCAAGCGTTTTCCTGCTGCGTGTGTGTGTGTGTATTTATATGAATACTTTGCCGTACGTGCTGATCATAAATTTAACATGCGTCAATGTTAAGAGAAAAAAAATTCCACAAAGCAAACAAATAAAAAATAATATTCTAAAATATAAAATAGGAAGGCAACAAGTATGTGTGGCGCATAAAAAATATAATCATAACACCTTTTATATATATTTTTTGTTTGTGAAGCGTCAAGCCTAAATATCAACATGTTTTTCTTTCTGTGTATTTTCTTTTGTTTACTTCTTTTTGCGTCAGCAGATTGCAGTAAAAATTTAATATTTGAGGATGTGAAAAGCAAAGAAACAACATTACGTGATGTGCCATACATACACACACATGTGTTTGTGTGTGTGTGTGAGTGTGTGTACACAATGTACACACAGCCGAAATAATAAAATACATTCACAGCGGCAAACGCGACGTATACGTAACGCCGCTAGCCTGCAAACTCAACTGTGACTTTGCCACTTTACGATGTCCGCAGTAGTTACTTTGCGGCTATTGACCCATTGGCTCACCAATCCGGTTAACATGTTTGTTACCTTGATATGCTTTATTGAAGCTTTTATAGCTTTTTTGGTATTACTTTATATATATATGTGCTATGATTTTTAGTGTGATCGTAAGCAAGGTGTTATTTTTAATATATATATAATTATATATAAAATTTGCTTAAATAATTTTTGTACGCCCTTCTGAGGATATTAAATTATTTATCATAATAAATCATTTTAATATCTGCAGAGGGGTATAAAAAAAGAAGTACATAATATGTACTAAAAATATGTATGTATATTTTTATAGGTAGGCATAGTTTACGATCAAACTAATAACCTTAGCATATATTTGAAGTAATACCAAGAAATCTATATAAAAAAAAAGAATGTCAAACTAACAAACATATTAGTAACAAATTATCATCATCACAGAACATTATTTTCCAATGATTTCTCCATATGAATAGGACCTTTGGAATATTATTGCTTACTAATTTATTTAAAAAGTTGACAAAGCTTATTCCAAATAACTTGCATTCAATTCTTCATGAATAGCAGATAGATTCTGCATCGCATGGAAGAACCTCTGGAGTATGCTCTCTGATGGAAAAGCATAACAAAACTAGCGACAATCCAACCTCAACAGACCTAACCTTAAATTTGGTCCTACAATAACTATATAAAATAGTTTACTGGTTAGATATATATATATATATATATATTTTTAATTAATATCTAAAATTATGCAATAAACTGTATCTGTTTAGACACTGATAACAGCTGTATCTATAGTGAAAGCATCTACTCTGATAATTTTTTTTTTTTTTTGGCGAAGAGAGGGGGTGGGGGGAATGGTGCATGGGTACGCAAAGTCCTTCATTTAATTTAAGCGGCTGCCATACATTTTGTTAGCCCACATATTTCATTTGGGCGCTGGAGCCGCTGAGGCGCTCCCCGCGGTCGGATTGGGTTATGGGCTGGGAGAGTGGGCTGTTAGCACGGCAGCTGCCTTCTGGCCCATGGCAAATTATTCACAATTTGTCATTTGTCTTTGATTTATTTGCATTTTAAAGGCTTTCAACGGCGACGACGTCGACAGCGCCGACGTAATAAATTTAGCTGGCTGTCTACCTTTCTGCTAGCTGTCGGCAAATGCTTATTTTTTGTTATTTTCAGCGTATACAGTATATATGTACATATATATTTTAGACTTAAACACAATTTGTAATACTTACAAACGACATTCAATTTCCACATGGTCTCCAAATAAAGGCCGTTCACATTTGGATTTTCCGCACGGCATGTTATCGATTTGCCATCGTCGTCTGTGGTGGGCACAAAGCTCAGCTCCGAGCGTGTCGAGTTCTTTGATATGTCGTCCTGGAAAATGTGTTGCTGCATTAATTAAGTTTCGGCCTCAGACCAGAGAGTAGACGATCCCCAACCACCCCTCCCCGTCCACCACTTTACAACGAAAATGTCCTGAGGCGCAGTTCTTCGTTTTATTCTTTGTTTTCTTTGTGTGTGTGTGTGTTATTTTTTTGCAAATTTGTCGAAATATTTTATGTTTGCAATTTAAAATTTATTGCTGCATACTTTGGGTTTTATGTGACTTGTGTGGGCACATTTTATAGCGCCAAGCAGCAACAACAACAACAGCTACAACTACAACATCTATAACACGTAATTAGTTGAGCTGTTGTAGTCGTTATTCTTGCTGTTAGCTGAACGGGTCATAAAATTGTTCATTTTTAACCGTGTGTCGCCCCCTCCCCTGGCGACCAGTCGCCAAAACTTGCTAAACGGCTGCAAAGGCGTGAAATATGCCCTCACATATACCTGCTCCGGTAAGTGGGTGTTAGTGTTTAAGCCCTATCGAAGGTGCTAAAAGGCGGACAGTTAGCGACCTGCTTTCACATCGTAAAAACGTTATTTTCAGTGTCAGAGTCCAAGGCAAAAGGAAAAAAAAACAAGCTATAAATATTTAAAAGAAAAAACTTGACTTTCCGAACGGAATGGAACTGTGAGGAAAACCTGTTTTCCTTAACAGTTGGCAAAGTTCTTTAGAATAAAATTTCTTTAGTTCTTCCAAGAATTTGAGTATTAAAAAATATATAAAAAATCGAAGATAATTATTTAACAAAAAGAAAAAAGTTTTCCGAACGGAATGAAATTGTAAGAAAAGCCTGTTTTTCCTAATAGATGGCAAAGAAGAAATTTAACACGAAATTTCTTTGCTATTATTTAAAAAAGAATAAAGTCAATAAATATGTAAAAGAAAATCCATGCTTTAAATGACATTAATTGTTAGAAAAATTCTTCCAGAAAACTGCTTACAAAAGAACTAAACAGACTGTATAATTAACTCGAGTACGTTTATTACCAGGTACTGCTTTCCTTATATTATTTTTTTCGACAATTAAAAATGGTTTAACCTAGTTTGAAATGAATTTGTTAGACTGTCCTCAAAAATATTCTAACAACAATTTCGATCAAGGCAAATGGCATGTTTAGACTAAAGCCATGACTACCTAATTAGCTGCAATTCGCAACGAGCAACTCGATTGTCGGCGAGTCGTTGGCCCCAAACGTTGATTAATGTCGTGCCCCATATAAAGTTGCTAGACTTTAGTTTGTACCCGAAATATGCACATGTCTGGCAGCACACACACTGACACACTCACACACACACCGACTCATACAGCCCACCCACAAGGTCCGCATATTAGAGTGGAAACTAAGGCACCAAAAGGCATGTATAACATGTCTAAAGGCCAGTCTGTCTAACAGTCTCTCCGACTGTCTGTCCGAATGTCTGTCCGACTGTCTAGCTAAACTAGACTGAGGGCGGCCACTTGCCGCATTACGGCAACTTTATGCCACGTGAAAAACTACTGAAAAACATTTCCGGTCTTTAAAGGAGTGTAGCTGCAAACGGCAAAGCAATCAGCGGCGGTATGCATAAGCGAGTATGCATATAAGACGGACGGACATGGACATAAACAACAACTGTTTTGGGTTCCGGACAGTGGGTAAACGGGGCAGTGGCAGCGCTAGCGGGGGCGGGGGCTGGGCAAGTCAACAGCGGAGCGGCACAAAAATGAATTGCAACAAAATTGCGCTAAAACTCCCATAAATTTGTCCAAAGTTAAAACAAAAAAGGCACAAAAAAAAACACAGCAACAACAACAACCACAACAAATGAAAATGGCAAAGGAAAAGCGTAGCAAATAGTAGAAAATGCAAAGGGTTGCGCAGCCGGAGGGTCGCAGGTCGGGGGCGGGGCAATACATTGTGTATTGTGGAGTTTATATCACATTATCTGTGTTTATTCAAACGGTGAGTGCGGAGCGCGGCGAGTGTGAGCCACGCCCAGCGACAACAAGTGGGTGTTACCCACCCACAAGTCCCTCGTTGTGGAAGAGTTACGAGCTGCGGTGTGTGTGTGTGTGTGTGGCTTGGCTGTGCAAATACAATAACTTATCGAGCTGAACGTGAGTCAGTCAACACCCCCACAAACCCAACCTTAGGTAGGTAGACCACAAGTGTGTTGGGCAGAGTACGTCAATTGCGGTCATGTGCGAATCACCCCTACCCTTTGCCAACTACTGCCACCTCACCCCCTCGCAAACTCAACTCACCTTTGTGCGTCGCAATTGACGTTTTCCCTTGTACCAAGTGATGATGGCATTCGGACGCGAACCCGATGATTCACATGTAACTTCATAGCGTCGATCGGCAATCATTGAACTGGGTGGTTCCAGAATTTTTACAGTCAATGGCTTTACTGTGAATAGAAGTAGAAAAAATCGGTTAATATTATTCGCAATTTGAATAATGAAAATTGAGCACACAAAAAAGATTGCATAACACAGTAGTTTCTTTAGTTTTTTTAAGGCAGATTAAAGAAACTATATTACAGCTCTGTATATTCCCATATTCTTTCGCTTTTGAACTTAAAAAATAATTATTAAGTAGAGCTTTCAACAATTTGTAACTAACGAACGTTAAAAACTAACGACTACATATGGCTGACTCCATAGGTCCCCATAGGCCCCCATTGGTCCCTATATATAAATGACCCTCTTTGGCTAAGGCAACAATTTGTTGTGCTGTTTGCTGTAAAGAGCTCGGGATATGGAGCGAGGTTAATGTTAGGCTTAACGCCCCGTCATTCGTTCATTTCTGTAAACATGTAATTATTTAATGGCCACTTTGACGAGCTATATGCGCGGTATTTAACCCTAAGAATGTCAGGTTTATTTGTGTAGCGTTACAATCGTGAAAAATATTGAATATGATTTGTTTGTGTTTACACAACAGGCGAGTTGTTTAGTTAACGTGCTGCAAATAACTACGAAGTTCCGATATTAAAAGATAATATTTTCTTTGATTAAATATTAATTTAGTTAATTGAGATTCGGAACTAAGTATAATTGATTTGTAATAAAAATGATTAGGGTTTACTGAGTGTCAGCGGGGACTATGGAATGTCTGAGTAGAGTTTGGCTCTAAACATAATTAGTCATTATTTGAATCAAAAAAAATGTAGATCTAAACTCAGGCTTTAGTTGTTCCTAGAGAAAATATTGATATACTAATTTATTTCAATATGGTATGGTCCCTCTATGGGTTATATAAAACCGCCTGCTAAGCCTAGGGTTATTAAGTCCCACAATAAATAACATAACCTTGACGATAGCACAATTCTGGTCTAGAATCAAACCTAAGCGAGCTGGTCTTTTTTTTCTGTGTTTTTTTTCAGGTCATGTGCGGTTGTTTTAGACAAATTTATTAGCCAGACAAGTTGCACTTACGGTGCATATCGAGTATGAAGCTCTTCTCCTTGGGCTTATCTAATTGCGTATTCAATGCCTGGCATGTGAATACGGAATTTAAATCGTTGCGCTGCACCGATGGCCACAACAGTCGATTCTCGATAACATCGCCGGAATTGTGCTCGTTTTGATTGTCGACAAGTAGTCCATTCACAAGCCAGCGGACCTGTGGTTGTGGTCGACCTATGAAATAGAGTCGAACAAGAACAAAGAACAAAAAAAAATACAATAGTTATATACACATCAACATATGGGGACTGTGCGAAGCGGCAGCTAGAAACGGCGCAAATTAAAAAGTCAAGTTTTGGACTAAAAAAAAAAAAAATAGCGCAAAGAAAACCGAAAGCAAACTTTGTGATATTTTCATTTTCGGTCAAAGTGCGGCTTGAGGTTTTTCTTTTGCTCTCTGTTTTTTTTTTTTTTTTTGCTGGCCAAAGCTTTTAAGGAAATTAACAGGAAATTGTCTAGCCGGTCGAGCGGATATAGCCATGTGTGTGAGGCATAGCAAAAGCAAAAGGGGGCGTGGCCACTGGCAATGGGGTTAAGCCAGATAGTTGGGCTTACTTACCGCCCACCACACGACAAGTGATAACAATATCATCGCCCTCCTGCTTGGGACCCAATTTTGTGCCATTCTGTTGACGACCCCAACGGTCCAGTATGATGGGCTGCTCCGGAAGTACTAAAAAGAACAACAGCAACAACAACAACAACAACAACATCAATTGATAGTTAAGTGTACGTGTAGGCGTAAGTGTGCCTGTGTGCCTGTCAGCATTTCAGATACTCACTTATTACAGACAAATTGAAACGGAAGCTTTGCGTTTGAGCTGTGCGAAAATCGACACGACAACGGTAAATGCCTTGATCATGCCTTTTGATATCCTGCAAAATTCCATACGTTATATTATTATATGTGTGCGAAAGGAAACAGATGATTAGCATACACACGTATACACACACACATACACACACACACACACTGCACACACCCACAAAACAGTTGGTTCTGCTTATGGTTATGTAATTTTCAATTATTGCATGTCACTTAAGTCCTACAACTATGTGGTCTGTGCTGTGGCCAAGTCGTGCAGGACTTGAGATATATATCGAACCTCCGGCCAGGCAATTATGCACTCCCAGGTATTGAAGCTAGTGCACATTTGGTTCAGTTAATTGTGGCTATGATTAGTTAGTCAATGAATGGATATATATATTACTCTGATTGGTTCTTTCATTAAGATTTGAATTTATCATCATCTTGCTCTGTGTGTTGTAATAAATGAACTAGTTCGGTGAAACGGCTTAAAACCTGCTCCAGTTAGTTGTCATTAGCCATATGCATGTTTAGCAATAAATTATTAAACTTTATTAGCTAGCTGAGACACACTTTTTCACTAATTAATTCATTAATTTATTAATGACGATTCGACTTTTCAATGGATCTTTAATAGATTTTGAGCACCTTTATATCCTAGTATTTAAAGGTAATACCCGAATATCTTAGAACAAAATATATCATTATTTTACATATTCACATAAAATTTATAAATCCTAATTGAGAAATACTTGTTACAATTACATTTTTCCATGTATTTATCACTAAATTCTTACACTTATAATATCCCATCTACCCCTTAAGCATCCGTTGCTGTTTTCTCTAACTACTTGTATGCAATTTACAGTCCGTATGGCGTCAGGCTAATTGTCAGGCAATTGAAACGCAATTAAAATTAATTTATAAAGTCAACTCCTCGCCCAGATCCCAACCATTTGTCGCACATTATTCATATTCGAGTTATATATAAATGTTTTTGTAACATCGTGTTGTGTGCCTCGCTTGCAATATGAAGTTGATGCAACCGCGAGTGGCAAATTTATGGGCGGGATCAGGCTGCCTCTTCGTGTGCATTTCACATTCATTTCCGAATGTGTGTGTGTGTGTGTGCACATGCAGCTCGTTAACGTGCAGACAGAACCTCTCCCCAACCAGGCTGTCTAAGACCAGGAATTGTCCAAGGATTCCTACACTCTGGAACCCGAAGCCAACTCAAGTTGGCCTTTAAAAGTCAACCGCTTGTGGCGCAAAGACATGCCGAGGCGTTGGCTCAAGTAGCTGCCATATTGTGTGCGGGTGTGCGTGTGTGTGAGTGTCTGTTTGTGTGAGTGTGTGAGTGTGCATTGCATGACAATAACGGTAAATCAAGTTATCTGTAAACATGCAAGACATTAATAAACATTTCGCGTGCGCGAAGCAATTTAACAACTTTTGATATCTAAATTTGTTTTCGCATTGCCTCAGCCGCAGTCGGAGTCGCAGTCACCGTCGCAGTCACAGCTTTCTACTGTTATTTAGCATTCCGTTTCTACTCCCTTTTCATGGCCCTTTTCCCTATATGTTTCTTTTTTTTGCAATATGTTCGGTACTTCCGTTTACTGTTACTCGCGCTGACTTAATTTTTAACACGCATTCGCAATTCCAATTGCAATTCCATTTTCGGATATAAAATTGAATGCGCTTTTAGATAATATAGAAAATTTAAGGCACATTTTGAGAGAATTCCCAAAGGGAAATTTCATATAATTTAAATTTATTATATACCAATTTACGCACTCACTTGTCGTTATATCTATATAGCTTTCATTTTTAGAGTTGTTGAAATTTATCTAAGAACCAAAACTGGAACTTCATGTTCCCTAAAGATTGTTTTTCCTTTTTTTTTTTATAAATTATTCATTATTAATTCCATTTAATTAAACCTGTAAGATTTTGGTTAATAATAAAATAAATAAAAAACGAAGCAGAACTAAACCTCTATGATCCCCAAAGATTATTTATAGCTAAGCCTTGAAGATCCCATAAGAAAAGTTTATAGCAAATTAAGTATTCTGAACGTCTGAATGCTCCGTAGATAAACTTTGCTCAAAATAAGCTCAGTTCTTGAGTCCCTGAGTAGACGAAGTGGGTAATGGAGTATATATAAAAACCCTTTGATACATAGGTAAACTTTAAGGCTGCATTTAGGGTATACTCTAGTCTGTCATTTTACAAACTCTTATTTAGCATTTTTGTATTGCTATTTCTGCTTAACGCACAAAAATTCAATTGTGTGCTAATTTTTTTAGAATTTTTTTAACGTTGTGCATTAATTTTTTCAAGTTCTGTTAGCTTTTATCCATTTGTTGTCTGGCCCCAGCAGGTGGAAAGCCACTCAAATGGCTAAAAGCATCCCTAAGAGCGTGCTACAATAATTGCCGTGCGATAAGTCGTGTGTTTCACATTCATTCAAGTTCACACAAATTAAATGGAATATTTAAAGAATTGAATAAAGTCGAGCCCGTATTTGTAATGGGTCGCTCTGAGCTGTTGGGCAATCATTTGGGATCTTACCTTAATTTCCAAGGTTGCTGGCTGCGAGTCAAAATGAAATTTGGCACGTGAGCCAAAAACCTCCGGAGCTGACCAATGTCGTGGCTGCTCAACGGCCATATTATCGCGCACATCGAAGCTGCAAAGAGAGAAAAAGAGAGAGAGAGAGGGAGAGAGCGAGAGAGAGAAAGAGAATTATTATTATTGTGCTGGAACGTAAATATTTCAGTGAGGCGAAATGAAATCAGTTGATATAAATTCTTAAGTTCCCAGCAAAATATTCACATGCGAAAACCGGCAAACCTTATGAAACCCCATAGGCTATATAATTCAGCTTGGACTTCAGCTCTTTTATTCTGCTTCTTCCTTTTTTGTCTTATTTGAAAATTGCGCGTGCTAAACTTAGCCTCATTTATTTCGGCCTGCTCATTAGAAGGGGCGTCGGGCTGGCTGCCAAAATTGAATTTATGAGCCCGCAGATAAACATTTTTTCAATTTTCTGCTTCTTGTGCTTGTGCAGTTCTCGCCGGCGTTGCATTTAATGCGCCAAGTTTTACCTGGCAGCACACGCAGCAGGCCATAACACTTAAGACCTGGCTAAATGCTGACTACTGCCGTGGTGCGGTGTCATCATTAAAATGGCCATAAACATGGCTTGCATTGAGCTGGCGCGAAATCTTTGTTTTTCTACTGAACTAGCGAACTTTATTAAGCAATAAATATTACGCAACTATAATTTGCAAGTGATAAACGCGTTTCGCGCTATCGATTACAACTTTAAATTCAGTTTGCTTTTGTAAAACTTAACTGAATTGAGTTTTTGACTAATTACTTTAAAGCTTAACTATGCTAGTACGCATAATTAGAAAATGTATAAGGGTATAGTTACTAGGGAAAACACAAACAGGCAGCTCAACAACATATTCATTTAATTCTGATTACAATTTTTAGAAATGTCGAGAACTCTGTTTGCAGCATTCAAATGCAATTCAATTTTTTTATTCCAAGCACTCGACTGCATATTCCTCTGACTCTTATATGGGCAAATGATAAGCTCTTTATTTTATTTCTTTCTCACTTAAATAAATATTATAGAACTTATTTTGATGCTATGTGGTGACTATTTAGTTTCATTTGATTTTGCTCAGAGCTAGTTACTCTTTCAGATATTCTATAAAAACATCTAATTTAACCTTTACTGCTCTTTCTTTCAGCATTATATGCTTAAACGAATTAAACTCTTAATTATTTGCCTTTATACACTGAGCCCATTGAAAGTGACTATGAAGGGTATATTGGTTTTGTCTAAGTCTATGTAAAAGGCAGAAGGAAGTATCTTTGATATCTTAAAGTATATATATTCAGCATTAAAAACCTTCGATATTAGAACCTATCCCGATCAGTACAAGCGCGTTTCAAATAATCGATAGATTTCCTAACTTCCACCAAATCGACAAGAAGCGATATTTAAATCCTTTTTTCTGAGCATATCTCAGAGCTTATAAGCGCATAAGAACCCGCATAAGAATGTGTGCGCGTATTTATGGGTAAATGCGTGTGACAACAGCTAAGCGCGGGATTAAGGGAATCTGCCGACTTGCTTGTTCTTCTTGTTGTTTGCTCTTAATTTCTACCGGTATTTTAATAGAAGTATTGTAACTAACTAAACAAATATTCTATTATCATATTCTCTTTCTGCGAATATACAATATCTTTTTATTGTATTTTAATCCTATTAGAGCTCTTTGATTGTTTCTAAATTTATGACAACAGTTGTTAGCAGACTTCTAGGGCAAAGTTCGCTTCAACAATGTGTACTCAGAGACGAGGCGGAGTCAGGGGTCGGGGGGCTATTTCGATTGTTGTTTTTGTTGTTATTGTAGCAGCCACTTTTCGAGAGCCGCTGCGGCAAGTGGGGCGTTAAGCGCCCTTTTGTATGCAACACGCAATAATTTATGCGGGCAACCAACGAAGAACGCTGCCGACGTCGACGTCGACGTCGACCGCGACATCGCAAAATGCAACAACTTAATTGCTGCGTGCCAAGCGGGCGGCAACTCAAGCAAAAGAGCGACAGAGAGCGGGAGCGAGTGATAGAAAGAGAACGATTTAGTGTGAAAGCGAGAGCAACGTTAACCCAATTTTGTTGCGTTTTCTTGCTTTCCATTTTTTTTTTGTGCTCATAGCGCTGCCATTTTAATTAAAAACTAAAAAAGTAAAATAATAAAAAATGAAAAGGGAAAAAGAAAAACTGTTGCAGTTGGCTGCAGAGCCTGCGGCTAGAGAAAGTGAAATGTTCTAAGGGTGTTCAGGGGGGTGGCAGAGGCGTACGCCTGCGCTTAATAACTGCTCTTCGGGGCCTATGCAGCAAATGTTTATGACCAAATAATATGCTACGTGGAGCCAGGCAAATTGAGTGTTATGAAAATGTCCAAAATCCGAATAAAAAAAGCATGGGACTATGGGTAGATGCAGCGAAATGTTGGCCAAAAGTTATAGTTATATGAAACTGTCTGGCTAACTAAGTATGTTAAGGCCATTTATGCGCTGCAAATATTAGCACATATCTATCTCTACTTTTAACACAGTCTGTTAACAACTGAACCAGACTGGCTGTTAAGAAAATTAAATTGTATAGCCTCTGCTGTCAAATTATTGTGATTCATTTCATAAACAATTTATTTGGGTTAGCTTGGCGACTATGTCTTTGCTCTTGAAAGTTTGCTTCTACATTTGTTATCATTTAATTGTCTTGTAACATTTAAGATATGTATACAACTAATCTTTCTATTGTACGCAACCATGATCCGCAAACCCCTTACCTATCGACTCTAAGGTTTTTCACTACCCACTTTCACATTGTTCTGATCTTACAAACTTCTATATATGTAATAATAATTAATATCTAATTGTTCAATATCGCTTAAAATATATTTACTATTTGTACCAGACACACTTGCTATTCATTTTGGAATAATTCTCAAATATTTTACTTATCTGCGCCACTGTGTGTGTCGCCCAGTAAAAGTGTCACATAGTCTTTCGAGTGCCAGATATTGCATTTGACAGGCAAAGGGCGCAACATGGCGTTAAAATGTCGCGAATGCAATTAGTATGAGCTGCTACCTAGTCACCCCCTCGAGATGTAGCCTGGGGCCAGCAGGGAGCACTTTGCAGGCACTTTCCAAAGAGTTTTTATGACCGGCCCGATTGCTATTAGGCAGAAATAACAACAACAACAACAAGAACTACAGCAAAAGCAAGCTTAGCAGCAGCTTAATGCCAAAGTCCATATAAAAGAAATTCAACACCATTTATCCACATAATTCTTGTGGCTTTATGTCTGAGGTTAATTACGAAATTAGGTAAATATAATTAAGTTAATTTACTGTGTGCCAGCGACAACAAAAACACACGCACACACAGACAAAAGTTAAATCACATATTCAGACCAAAGGCCACTTATCAGCTGCCAGGCAGGTGCAAAAAATAAACAGCTCAAGTTTAATTATAGCAAATGGTGGTATTCGACCTTGTAATACTCTAGAAAATGCGCACACATTAAGAGCTCAAGTTTTATCAGCTAAACACATAGACAGCTATATTGTATATTTTTGTGGTGTTTTTTCTTGCATTGTATATGAATAGCTTATATACCTGCTTATGCAAACTTCGCAGAGGGTATATACAAAATATTGTAGCATACTTAAGTGCAAAGCTGGGCCGCACGATTTAAAAGGCAGCTGCTCTCGAGGCTCGTTTGCATTTAATTAAATGCTTATAAAGACACACACACACAGTCAGACAGACAGACAATGGGCCAAATGAGGCAGTCACCACGCACGCACACACACAAAGAGAAAGATAGAAAGAGCGAGAGAGAGTGAGTGAGCGAGAGGCGGCGATAGTACTTACCTGTATAGAGGTATGCCCGCGTTATCACGAAACCATAAGACCATATAAACATCATGCAGGGGCTCGGCAATGGGGCAGGGCAGCGACACTGATTTACCCTCGACGGCATCAATGTCTTTCGTTTTCACTGTGTGCCGATTGTGGTTTTGCGGATGTGGTTGGCATTGGTTGTTGTTGTTATTGTTCATGATGGTGGCACAAAGTCGCCGCCATTTTATTTTTGGGGGTCAGGCAAATTATGTTGTCAAGGTTTTTTTTTTTTTTGGTTGGTCAGCATCGTCGAGCCACATGAAAATAGAAAATAAATGCGTAAAATTTGTTAATTAAATGTTCGTTCCTTTTCCAGCATGCGTGGCTGGTCTCGCACACACACTTATGCATATACATTTATATACATATATATACATATATATGTATATATGGGAGTAGAGCATTGCGCAGCCAGGACACGGCTAGCTGTGTGTATCTGGGGCTTTTAGCAATTAAATGTTGATGCCGGCTTAATTTCTACGTAATTACAAACGCGTAAATTTTTATGCAGCCCCCGCATAGAACCAGCTTTATTTATTTATTATGTATGTGCAAATGCCTGTGAAATACTTTTTAAGCCACGCCCATCCAATCCCTCTATGCCTTTGTGACAGAGCACATGGCATTATATTTTGTTCTTTTACTCTTTGCACAAAATCTGTTTGCTAACAAGCCAAAAAGCTAAGCATGCTCAAAATGTGCGTTATTCCAAATAATTTACTGAGCTCGGCACTTATTTCATTTTGATCAAAAACAAATTTAATATAATATAATTAATAGATAATAGATAGATAATTTGAAATAAATTTTAGGAATATGTTTTACTACGTTTATGTAAATTCTATGGGTATATTTGTAGTTTTTTCCTATAAGCATACGTCATTCACATTTATAAGTATCTAAGTATCTAAGCCTTATTTGTTATTTGTGAATTTTAAAATAAATGAATATAGATATTTACTTATAAAATAAACAAATATGAAATGAAAAAAATTTATAATAATGAAAGAAATTCCCATAACTAAATGTATATTCAATATTTTTACATACATTACACATCGATAGCAATAAAAGTAGAGATAACAAAAGATAACAGCTGAACGGTTAGAAAAACAAGGTCAATGGGTTCTTGATCTTGATAAGAAAAGACAATCTAGATAAAATGCATAGACTGAAAATAGATCAAATAAATATCTCATCTTCTGTAAAGTACAAGCACTGAACATATTTTAGTTATTTACAATTTCTGATCATTTTTATTGAAAAAGAGAACTCTCAAACATTAGCAAAAATTAATTCTACAAAGAAAATCGGGTATAATAATTTTTTTTGTTTTGCTTGCAACTTTCAACAGCGTGAGTGACCACTGTACAGCTAATAACGTCTGGTCAGACTTTCAGCTTTGTATGTGATTTCTGCTTGTGTTTATTTTCTTTATGCTTTAAGTCATATTTATTAACAGTTGTAACCAAATGTAGTTTAAATTATTTTATGTTGATACAATGTTTAAGCTTTTCATAAAATTTAAACGCTTTCGCCATCTATCTTTTTATATGGTTAGTAAACACTGTAATATATCTATGTAAGGTTCTGTGCACAAATTCTTTATATCGTTTATATAAACTGCACTGTTGCCATTTTCAGCCAAAATGTTTATAACATTTTCAATATTTGGTTTTTATTGCCTGCTGCGCTTTTAGCCGCGACAACATTTTGGCAGTTGAACCAGCCAAAAGCAGAAGCTCAACTGAAACCCAACAACAAGCAACCACAGCTGTCAAATGCGGCAAGTTGACACAGATATTGTTGTTGTATGCTATACACTTTTATAGGGTATTTGTGTTTTACAATGCAAAGTGAAACATTTTATAAGGCCATGTTTTTTAAGTAAGGAAACATAGATTTATATACAGTCCACTCTGAAATAGGTTTTCGCCAATATCTCAAGTGTTAATCTTCACAAAGTAATAATTAGAAAATATTTATATAGTTATTGATAATCATTCTTAACACCAAAGCTATCTTTACGCTTAATTTTTGAGTAAGTATTGTATATTTTTATACCTGCAATATGCATAACCCTAAACTTTAATGATTACTTAGGGCATTAGACAGTCGGCGGCTCAGAGTAAGCACAGCTTTATGCTATATTGTTGTTGCTCTGTTATCATGATTCAGCTTTCATATAAAGAGTATAGACACACACCGTTTGGCACACATGCATACACACATCTAAATATATCTTCGTGTACAAATAAAAATGTCTGCGTTGAAAATATTTCACATCATATGAAAGCAAAGGCCATAAAAAATGTAACTTCTCACCCGCCCTCGCCTAACCCCGCCCCCCTCAACAGCCTCCATCCCTTCATGACTGGTACTTCACGGCAAGGTTTTTGGCATTGACTTTATGTGTAAATATGAAAAAATGTCATTTTATTGCCACAATGCGTCGAAATTTTGTGAAAATTTATTGCGAATACGCCGCGTTGTACAATAAATATACGCTTAAATGCCCAGCATGTGTGTATATGTGTGTATATGAGTATGTGCATGTGTGTTTGCTTAGAAATGTTGGTACAGCGCAGTAGACACAGCTGGCACTGAGCTAAAATAAAAGAATCGAGTGTAAACTGTGTGCACCATCTGCCATATGAGGTATAAACATAGATCATATAAGGCCTACGAAATGCACAAAATAAAATGTTGTTGCATATGAAACTTGGTCCAAGAGCTCTACAGAGCTTTAGGACTTGTGAATATAAGAAAAAATTAGTTTCAGTTGAACTCTTACAACTATATTATGTGAATAGAAAAAACTCACAACATTCAATCGTATTATTTGAATATATAGAATAATTTTAGTGTAATGAAAATAAGTTATATCCAAATAAGTAAATCTAATTAAATATATTTTGAATTCAATTTGATCAATTTAATTGATTGATCAATAATTGTGATTTATTGTTTTTTAAACTATTTTTTTCAGTGTAGTTGCTTGGAACGATAGCGCTATCATAGCGTCAAAATACGACTAAAACTTTACATTTGCGACGCCAGATGGCGATAGCTTGAACGTGCTCATATTTAACTCGAAACAGGTGAGTGGAAGTTGGGAGTAGTTGACAGTTGGTTTTAGTTGGGCGCGAGATAGCTGATAGCTCTGATTGATATTGGAGAACGATGTTCATAATAAGCGAAATTAAGTTACCGACACCTTATCAGGCAGCGAAAAAAGGCAATTAGATTAATGGACATCCATGCCACGCATTGCAGACGCCTCAACGTGTTGGCCGCACGGGCCTGAAACCATTCTGTTACAAAGACTCTCTGCCTCAAAACGTGCTGGCCATGGCCATGAAGAAGCGCTATGTGAAACGCCTGTTGCGTAAGTTCATCTTTCTACTTATTATAATTGGCTTCATCTCGCTGCTGACCACGTTGATTGTGGAAAAGCGTCTGAACAAAGCCAAGTCAGCGGACGAGCCGGACGAAAGTAATTTGGATATGAATGGAGATCCCATAACGCCAGAGTTCCGTGTGGCCAATGTGGCGCCGACACGTCGCCCGGCTCGACCGCCCTTTCAGGATCGCAGTGCTGTGCGCGATGCGTTGCCGGATCAGCAAGTGGAGCAGCCAAAGACTGAAACAGTGAAAATGTTTACGTTGCCAACGCCGGTGGGTGAGCGTAGGGACTGGCACGATTACGAGGCAATGGCAGCGGACAAGTTGCGCTCCGGTCTCGGAGAACATGGACTACCCGCTACGATTGAAGATCCTGCTGAGAAACCGCTGGAAGAGCAAGAGTATCGAAGGAATGGCTTTAATGGTTATCTCTCCGATCGCATCTCTGTGAATCGCTCACTGCCAGATGTGCGACACGAAAAGTAAGTAGAATGGATCAGCAGCTATTGAATTGATTCTCTATAAATGTATGCCCGATTTCCCGATAGGTGCAAGACGCGCAAATATCTGGCCAAGCTGCCAAATGTCAGCGTCGTCATCATCTTCTACAATGAACACTTTCAGACGCTTCTACGCACCGTGTACAGCATCGTCAATCGCACTCCTAAGGAGCTACTGCACCAGATTGTTCTTGTCGACGATGGCAGCGAATGGGAGACGCTTAAGGACCAATTGGACCAATACGTCGCTCTACAGTGGCCACATTTAGTCGACGTGGTGCACAATCCAGAGCGACGTGGCCTAATTGGTGCACGTCTAGCTGGCGCTAGGGTTGCCACCGGTGAGGTCATGGTCTTCTTTGACTCGCACATTGAAGTCAACTACAATTGGGTAAGTCAAGAAGCTTAAGATCTTTGAGGCTCTTGGAGTACCTAGGTCAGTTTTTGTTTTCGTTTAAAGTTTGTAGTTGAAACTCAACCGGAAAGCTTTCAAAGCATCAGACATTTAAATGTAAAAGATTTTTAACTTCGCCAAAGCTTCAAGCTTCATAAGACATACTAATTAAATGTTTAGACAATTTCTCTCGACTGTTTCCATTGTTTGTCCCTTGCTTTTGTCCCAGCATGTTTACTTTACTGATTAGTTGATATTTGAAGAGATTGTCATTTATTTCTTATTATAGCTGCCGCCACTTTTAGAGCCCATTGTCATCAACAATAAGATATCGACGTGTCCCATTGTGGACATCATTGATCACAACAATTTTGCCTATAATGGTGGCTATCAGGAGGGCACACGCGGCGGCTTCGACTGGCGCTTTTTCTACAAACAGCTGCCTGTGCTGCCCGAGGATAGTGTAGACAAATCTCTGCCATATCGCAGTCCGGTAATGATGGGCGGCCTGTTTGCCATTAACAGTGAGTTCTTCTGGGATCTGGGCGGTTACGATGATGAGCTGGACATTTGGGGTGGCGAGCAGTACGAGCTGAGCTTTAAGATCTGGATGTGCGGTGGCATGCTGTTAGATGTGCCCTGCTCTCGCGTAGCCCACATATTTCGCGGTCAAATGGATCCGCGGCCGAATCCACGCAATTACAACTTTGTCGCAAGGGTAAATTGGGTGTAAAACGCCTGGCAATTGTATGCCAAATTCACTGATCAACTGAGTTTTCTAGAATCACAAGCGCGTCGCCGAGGTCTGGATGGATGAATACAAAGAACATGTCTATAGGCGGGATCCTGCAACCTATGATAACATCGATGCTGGCGATTTATCGCGTCAGCGTGCGGTGCGAGAGCGTTTGAGGTGCAAGTCCTTTGATTGGTTCATGAAGGAGGTGGCGCCCGATTTCCTTGTCAAGTTTCCGCCCATTGATCCGCCCGCCTATGCATCGGGCGCCATACAAAGCCAGGCCTATACAGCCTATTGTCTGGACTGCTTGAACGTGGGCGCCAATCATCCCGTTGGCATGTACAACTGCGCCGAAAATCTCACCTATCCCCAGGACAATCAGAACTGGGCCTTAACCTCGCATCGCGAGCTGCGACGCTTGGATGATGCTTGCTTGGATGTACAGGATGCCCATCCGAACGCCACAGTATGGATGTGGGATTGCCATCATCAGGGTGGCAACCAATTTTGGTACTATGATCGCCAACATCACTGGCTCGTCCATGGGCTTCGCGGCAAAAACTGCATGGAGGCATTTGTGGAGAATGGTGTGACAAAGGTGCTAACCAATCGTTGCGATGAGAATAATGTGCGACAACGCTGGAATTTTGGCAAAGTTAATGACGAGCTGCTGGATCGTTTCTTTGAGGGTTTGTAAAACGAGACCTGAACTAGAACTCTGTAAGCTTGTTGTTAAACCTAGCTGGAATAAGTGTTTAGATACACATCTAGAGTTTTTTCTTATTCTTATTAATTTAAATATTTAAACACAAACCCACACAATAAAATCAAATTCTGTGTGCTTTTCTTTTAAGCTGAGCAAACGGAAACTGTTCCCATTGAAATTATACAATTTCTAACCATATTTTAAAAAAGTTTTCAACTGGAATACGTCTAAGAAGTTGTCAACTTGTTTGAGGACCAGCTTGCCGTAAATGCAATACAGTACAGTAAGCAAAGTGTGGAAGCTGTCGAAATTGTTCTACTCCTTCGAACTACTTCCGCTGGCTGAAAGGTTTTTAACTACAGCAGGTTTTAGGCTCTGAGTTCTGGCCCTAAACACGTTTCTAGTTGTCGAAAATTGTTCAAAATTAGAAATCATGAAATGACACTAAAGGTCGATAAAAGCTCATGGGCCAATAGCATTTGTGTGTTCGTAATGCCAAAAGTCTAAAATGAACTTTGCTTTTAAATTCGACTTTGCTTGTGTTTTAGCCAGGTGATGAGCAGGGAGTCAGCCATTAGTCTGCCATTTTGGGGCTTGTTGTTGTCTTTTGCCACACCCCACTCCCCACCCCTTCTAGTTATCTCCTTCTCTGTCTCTGGGACTGGCTGAAAAATACCAATGCATCAAAGGCAAAGCTGCCTGCAACCCCTTCTTTCTTCTTCCACGGCCCGCGCCACGCGTCGCTCTTGCCCAGGCACTTTGAAAATTTTTAGCTAGAACCTGAGTTGGATTCTCGTTTTGGTTGCATTTTTGTGTCGCCTTTGGTTGGCCTTCACTTAACTACAGCAACGCCGACAGCTCCACAGCTCTGAAGCTCGACAGATCGACAGCTCGTGCATGTTAAAAGCTATTTAAATATGCTCTCTTTGAATGCCTTGATTGGCTCCATGCCAAACTCTAACCATTTCTGGCCAATCGGGTCTCGGTTGCTTGTTGGCTCCTTTGCTCTGGCTCTAGCACAGACTCTGGCTTTGGCTTTGCTACCCAAAATCAACCCACAACGCACATAAGCGTAAGGCGACTCCAGATGTGCTCTCTGCATTACCTTTTCGTATGAATTAAACCTATAATTGTTAAAGTGCGTAAAAAAAACTAACAAGCTCACTCATAATGATTAGATAAGTCTTGGAAATAGCTTACAAATATATAAATCATATATTCACGCCAAATAAAAAGCAGTTTTAATGAATTTTTGATTTAGTTTCAACATCTTTCAGTTGTAAATAACAGAACAAACCAGACCGATTCGGTCCTCTTATACTTTTCAACACTGTAATCATTAAAGATGTAAAAGCTTGGTTAGCTGCCTCGTTCTGGGGTTAACCTCATGCTTAACTAACCTCAATTCGCCACACTAACAATACACACACGCTCACAAATACACTCACACATACACTCACACACACACACACCCACACACACACTCGCATATACTCTCGCAGTTCATCTGCTCACACGTCTCTTTCAATTCGCATTCGCTGCACTCTGTTATCGCCTGGAATTCTCCAGTGAGACACGCCCCTTGCCCTTACCAACACTCCCCCCCCCCCCCCTCTACCACGCCTGCGACACGCCCATTGTTGATGCAATTTAAAATGCAAAACTTTAATGGAATTTGTGCTGCTGCGACAACAGTTTTACGCAACTTTGCAACACTGACAACTTTTATTTCTAATGCATTTGTCACATGCATAAATTTTGATGCAGCGCACTTACGAGTTTTTACTGTACCATGCACCTTAAATTTACATTGAAGTATTTTAATTGATATTTAAGTATGGCCGCTGCTGTTGTTACCTGGCTTATGTAATTGCCGGAGCGTCTTGTGCCTTCCAATTAGCATACACATATAATTTACCATGACGCAAGCCAGTGACAGCCCCCCATCCCCTTATAGTTGTTTCCCCCATTCCTCATATTGTACGCTCCCACATGGAATTCGTTTATTTCATGTAAAAATATTTCGTTGACAAATACACGTCACCAGGAGCCCACATGAAAGAGTTTCTCAGTCTTAAGCTCCCTCTATCTCTCTCTCTCTCTCGCTCTCTCTCTCTCCGCTCTGCTCCTCTTTTTTTGTAAATGTGTGTGTGTGTGACACTTTGCGATTAATCGTCGGGCTCATTAGTGGTGAAAATATTTATGAAGACCGCTGGGAGAACGCAGCGGGTACAGTCATTAAATATACATTGAAATCATTCTTAACTATGCATGTATTGCTGCTGTACGTGTAAAGGTATGTGTGTGTGTATGTGTGTGGTTTGTGCGGTTTTTAATGGATTTGTCTTCAAGTGGGATGCAGCAACAGCAAAACAAAGAAAATTTCAATTCAATTCGGCAACCTATTCAATGACAGTAGTTGAAAATGCACGATTAAACAACAAATTAATCGTAAAAGCAAGATACGCTTGCAGAAACCAGTGCTGCATAGGAGTTAAATATGACATATTGATAAATTAAATAACACTTATTTATGTTATTCTCAATTTTAAAATATTGATGATATTTTATCAGCTACTTTTTAAAAAAAAATTATTTTACTAATCAATGAATTAAACCTTTTGGAATAAGCACAAACCCAAAGAGCAATAATTTATTAGATAGGTTAATTGGAATTCCCCAGTGTGATATATGAATAATTCACAGTCCCTGATTATGGCAAAAATAAAATAAAATGGCATAGCGCCTACATACCCTTTAATTTCATATGCTTATCTACACACAAAAGTATATGAGTTGAAATGTATTTTAAATATATATATACTTTAACTATATATACCCTCAATTCCTATTTATACTAGGTATACGGGTTTTGCACAGCTACTGATAATTTAATATATATGCAAGTATTTACAATGCATCTTGATTAGAATGCATTAATGCTGTGTAAGCTTTGTAAAATCAATAAAAAATTACAGACGACAATGTTTTTGCTTTAGTTTATTCAAAATCATTGAAAGATGCGCTACGGGCTGCTGTTTGCAATTACCTTGGCTTGTTTGGTATGCAAATTGTTGAATATACTCCCAACATATATTAAACGAATTCACTTATTTCAGAGCCTTGCTAGTGCATTGACTGCAAAAGATGTGCAACTTATAGCTGAAATAAAGCAGGCTACCGAGCAGGCGAACCAACAATTGCTGCAAGGCCATCTCAAGTTCCTTATACAGGTAAATGAATACATCGCAGGTTCGCAGGTTGTGGATCAGTCGATAATACGACAATTACGCTCCCAAAAACTTCGAGCGGAGGCAAAACTTGCAATGCATCGTTTAAAGGAATCGGATCTGGATGAAATTTTAGATGAATGGGAGAGAATCTTAGATGTGAATAATATAAATGGAGACCAGAGAAGGGAGCGAATTTTTTTATACCTAAAGGACAAATATGGTGACATATTTAACATGAATGAACAAAGGCTGCAGAGGCAAATTCAGGTATTCACTTATGCAATAAATCCAAAAATTAGAGAGCTCAGCAAGTCTGCGCAACAAAGCGAACACGAACTAATTACATCATTTAATAATGTTGCCTATGCGGGTCTTGTAAGCCCGGAAGAGTCATTTACTGACTTCGTAACAGTTATGAATAAATATTAAATTTTATTATACAAAAAAAGAAACTGGCTTACTCAATAAGCAACGAGTGCAATCTTTGTGTATGAGATCGAGTGTTAAAGGTTATCAAGAGTTGTAAGCTCTTAGCACAATTAAAGTAAAGAGCAGCTATAAGCTAGTGAATATGTTTACATATTTGATAATATATTTATTTATTTACAAAATAAACAAGAGAATGCCCTAGTCTCATTATAAGATTGATGCTGCCAACATGGTTAAGGCCTATCATGAACATTTATTAATAACAACAAGTAAGAGGTTCTAGTCTAGCTATTTATGCTGATGAAGAATATATATACTTTATGGGGTCGGAGTTGCTTCCTTCTGCCTGTTACATACATTTGGCTTTCGCACATATACAATTTACGCTTATACCCATTTTTAATGGGTTCAAGGTATGAAAAGCCAAACTGCGTGGAAATCGGATGAGATTTGGCCGAGTTATGGGGGTGATAATATTTGACCCATGTCTATATACGAATCTTGGGGTAAGATTTGGACATAAATTTCCACCAAAAAATCGGTATCGAGATTTGAATGCCACATTAATCTAGAGGGAAAACTATAAAGAAAAGGCCAAACTTCGTGAAAATCGGATGAGATTTGCCCGAGATATGGTGGTGGTCATTTTTTACCCATGTCTATATATGAATCTTGGGGTAAGATTTGGACATGAATTTCGACTAAAAATAGATCTTCATTCATTTGAATGCCAGATTAATCAAGAGGGAAAACCATGAAGAAAACGAGATTTGGCCGAGTTATGGGGGTGGTCATTTTTGACCCATGTCTATATACGAATCTTGGGGTAAGATTTGGACATGAATTTCGACTAAAAAATCGCTGTTGATATGTGAATGCCAGATTAATCTAGAGGGAAAACCATGAAGAAAAATCCAAACTTCGTGGAAATCGGATGAGATTTGACCGAGTTATGGGGGTGGTCATTTTTGACCCATGTCTATATACAAATCTTGGGGTAAGATTTGGACATGAATTTCGACCAAAAAATTGGTGTCGAGATTTGAATGCCAGATTAATCTAGAGGGAAAACCATGAAGAAAAAGCCAAACTTCGTGGAAATCGGATGAGATTTGGCCGAGTTATGGGGGTGGTCATTTTTGACCAATGTCTATATACGAATCTTGGGGTAAGATTTGGACATGAATTTCGACCAAAAAATCGCTGTTGATATTTGAATGCCAGATTAATCTAGAGGGAAAACCATGAAGAAAAAGCCAAACTTCGTGGAAATCGGATGAGATTTGGCCGAGTTATGGGGGTGGTCATTTTTGACCAATGTCTATATACGAATCTTGGGGTAAGATTTGGACATGAATTTCGACCAAAAAATCGCTGTTGATATTTGAATGCCAGATTAATCTAGAGGGAAAACCATGAAGAAAAAGCCAAACTTCGTGGAAATCGGATGAGATTTGGCCGAGTTATGGGGGTGGTCATTTTTGACCCATGTCTATATACGAATCTTGGGGTAAGACTTGCACATCAATTTCGACTAAAAAATCGGTGTTCAGATTGGAATGCCAGATTAATCTAGAGGGAAAACCATGAAGAAAAATCCAAACTTCGTGAAAATCGGAGGAGATTTGATCGAGTTATGGGGGTGGTCATTTTTGACCCATGTCTATATACAAATCTTGGGGTAAGATTTGGACATGAATTTCGACAAAAAAATCGGTGTCGAGATTTAAATGCCAGATTAATCTAGAGGGAAAACCATGAAGAAAAAGCCAAACTTCGTGGAAATCGGAAGAGATTTGGCCGAGATATGGGGGTGGTAATTTTTGACCCATGTCTCCATACGAATCTTGGGGTAAGACTTGCACATCAATTTCGACTAAATAATAGGTGTTCAGATTGGAATGCCAGATTAATCTAGAGGGAAAACCATGAAGAAAAAGCCAAACTTCGTGGAAATCGGATGAGATTTGACCGAGTTATGGGGGTGGTCATTTTTGACCCATGTCTATATAGAAATCTTGGAGTAAGATTTGGACATGAATTTCGACTAAAAAATCGGTGTCGAGATTTAAATGCCAAATTAATCTAGAGGGAAAACCATGAAGAAAAATCCAAACTTCGTGAAAATCGGAGGAGATTTGACCGAGTTATGGGGGTGGTCATTTTTGACCCATGTCTATATACGAATCTTGGGGTAAGATTTGGACATGAATTTCGACCAAAAAATCGGTGTCGAGATTTAAATGCCAGATTAATCTAGAGGGAAAACCATTAAGAAAAAGCCAAACTTCGTGGAAATCGGAAGAGATTTGGCCGAGATATGGGGGTGGTCATTTTTGACCGATGTCTATATACGAATCTTGGGGTAAGGTTTGGACATGAATTTCGACCAAAAAATCGGTGTCGAGATTTAAATGCCACATTAATCTAGAGGGAAAACCATGAAGAAAAAGCCAAACTTCGTGGAAATCGGATGAGATTTGGCCGAGTTATAGGGGTGGTCATTTTTGACCCATGTCTATATACAAATCTTGGGGTAAGATTTGGACATGAATTTCGACCAAAAAATCGGTGTCGAGATTTAAATGCCAGATTAATCTAGAGAGAAAACCATTAAGAAAAAGCCAAACTTCGTAGAAATCGGATGAGATTTGGCCGAGATATGGGGGTGGTCATTTTTGACCGATGTCTATATACGAATCTTGGGGTAAGATTCGGACATGAATTTCGACCAAAAAATCGGTGTCGAGATTTAAATGCCAGATTAATCTAGAGGGAAAACCATGAAGAAAAAGCCGAACTTCGTGAAAATCGGATGAGATTTGGCCGAGATATGGGTGTGGTAATTTTTGACCGATGTCTACATACGAATCTTGGGGTAAGATTTGGACATCAATTTCGACTAAAAAATCGGTGTTCAGATTGGAATGCCAGATTAATCTAGAGGGAAAACCATGAAGAAAACTCCAAACTTCGTGGAAATCGGATGAGATTTGACCGAGTTATGGGGGTGGTCATTTTTGGCCCATGTCTATATACGAGTCTTGGGGTAAGGTTTGGACATGAATTTCGACCAAAAAATCGGTGTCGAGATTTAAATGCCACATTAATCTAGAGCGAAAACCATGAAGAAAAAGCAAAACTTCGTGAAAATCGGATGAGATTTGGCCGAGTTATGGGGGTGGTCATTTTTGACCGATGTCTATATACGAAAAATCGGTGTCGAGATTTAAATGCCAGATTAATCTAGAGGGAAAACCATGAAGAAAAAGCCAAACTTCGTGAAAATCGGATGAGATTTGGCCGAGATATGGGTGTGGTAATTTTTGACCCATGTCTCCATACGAATCTTGGGGTAAGACTTGCACATCAATTTCGACTAAAAAATCGGTGTTCAGATTGGAATGCCAGATTAATTTAGAGGGAAAACCATGAAGAAAAAGCCAAACTTCGTGGAAATCGGATGAGATTTGACCGAGTTATGGGGGTGGTCATTTTTGACCCATGTCTATATACGAATCTTGGGGTAAGGTTTGGACTTGAATTTCGACCAAAAAATCGGTGTCGAGATTTAAATGCCACATTAATCTAGAGCGAAAACCATGAAGAAAAAGCAAAACTTCGTGAAAATCGGATGAGATTTGGCAGAGATATGGGGGTGGTAATTTTTGACCCATGTCTATATACGAATCTTGGGGTAAGATTTGGACATGAATTTCGACCAAAAAATCGGTGTCGAGATTTAAATGCCAGATTAATCTAGAGGCAAAACCATTAAGAAAAAGCCAAACTTCGTGGAAATCGGAAGAGATTTGGCCGAGATATGAGGGTGGTCATTTTTGACCGATGTCTATATACGAATCTTGGGGTAAGGTTTGGACATGAATTTCGACCAAAAAATCGGTGTCGAGATTTAAATGCCACATTAATCTAGAGGGAAAACCATTAAGAAAAAGCCAAACTTCGTGGAAATCGGAAGAGATTTGGCCGAGATATGGGGGTGGTAATTTTTGACCCATGTCTCCATACGAATCTTGGGGTAAGACTTGCACATCAATTTCGACTAAAAAATAGGTGTTCAGATTGGAATGCCAGATTAATCTAGAGGGAAAACCATGAAGAAAAAGCCAAACTTCGTGGAAATCGGATGAGATTTGACCGAGTTATGGGGGTGGTCATTTTTGACCCATGTCTATATAGAAATCTTGGAGTAAGATTTGGACATGAATTTCGACTAAAAAATCGGTGTCGCGATTTAAATGCCAAATTAATCTAGAGGGAAAACCATGAAGAAAAATCCAAACTTCGTGGAAATCGGAAGAGATTTGGCCGAGATATGGGGGTGGTCATTTTTGACCGATGTCTATATACGAATCTTGGGGTAAGGTTTGGACATGAATTTCGACCAAAAAATCGGTGTCGAGATTTAAATGCCACATTAATCTAGAGGGAAAACCATGAAGAAAAAGCCAAACTTCGTGGAAATCGGATGAGATTTGGCCGAGTTATGGGGGTGGTCATTTTTGACCCATGTCTATATACAAATCTTGGGGTAAGATTTGGACATGAATTTCGACCAAAAAATCGGTGTCGAGATTTAAATGCCAGATTAATCTAGAGAGAAAACCATTAAGAAAAAGCCAAACTTCGTAGAAATCGGATGAGATTTGGCCGAGATATGGGGGTGGTCATTTTTGACCGATGTCTATATACGAATCTTGGGGTAAGATTTGGACATGAATTTCGACCAAAAAATCGGTGTCGAGATTTAAATGCCAGATTAATCTAGAGGGAAAACCATGAAGAAAAAGCCAAACTTCGTGAAAATCGGATGAGATTTGACCGAGTTATGGGGGTGGTCATTTTTGGCCCATGTCTATATACGAGTCTTGGGGTAAGGTTTGGACATGAATTTCGACCAAAAAATCGGTGTCGAGATTTAAATGCCAGATTAATCTAGAGAGAAAACCATTAAGAAAAAGCCAAACTTCGTAGAAATCGGATGAGATTTGGCCGAGATATGGGGGTGGTCATTTTTGACCGATGTCTATATACGAATCTTGGGGTAAGGCTTGGACATGAATTTCGACCAAAAAATCGGTGTCGAGATTTAAATGCCACATTAATCTAAAGGGAAAACCATGA